CGATGTACGTGGACGCAAAGATTTCCTTAATACTGTGATGAAACCACAGTCAGAACCCTAACAGCACTTTTCTTTTTTTAATTTTAAAGAGAATAAAAAAAAGAGCAATAAAAAGATACGCAATTTCAGAACAAGGTGATAGAAAATTAACAATGGCTGTTTTGTTGCATATTGTTATCTTCAGTGTAGTTGTTCAGATTACCAGATATAGCATGCAAAATTGATCAAGCAATTAAGCATCAATTGTTCCTTCCAATAAACCAATAGAAATTAGTGGTACAATTATCATAGCTGTCTTGCAGCACTTTTCTTATGGCTGTATAATTCTAAAATTCACCAGTAGGAGTGGAGGCGTAATAGCAATCTCACTACCTAAAAAAGACTTACTTTATAAAGCAGAGACCTTGCTCCCATTGCCTTACAGTTGTTAGAAAGCCGTAATAACGAAGGAGCTGTGAGGCTGGTGCAGAGGGAGGCCAGTGTGTGTAGAACAGGAGAGAGCCCGGACACGGATCTGCACACATACGGCAGCTGGCTTTGTGTTGGAGGCCGCAGTGTAACACAGTATGGCAAAGAATTATGTTTACAGAGTTGTGTGTCAGAGATTTAATTATCAATGAGATCATTAGGATGGTAAAGCTGCGCAAAGAGCATTTGAGGAGCTGAAGATTTGGAATAAGTTTGTTACAGAGAATCCAGGTGTGGTGGAGCACACCTGTACTCCCAGCACTTGGGAGGGTGAGGCAGGGGTTTGTGAGTTCCAGGCCAGGCTGGGGTACATAGCGAGATTGTCTTAAAAGAAAAGAAAAGATTTGTTGTATACAAAACTGGCTATCTCCTAAAAGGTAGTAAAACCATAACTCTTTCAGACAGAATTTGTTTGCATATTTACCCAAAATATCTACAGGTTGACATCTAATTTCATATTGTGTAGATCTTAGTAGTAAGTAGCAAGTCAAAGGTAAATTCTTTACAGAGTGAAACTCCTTACCTGTCAGTCAGAGCGCCGGGATGTGCTTGTAACGCTGTGAGTGTGGTCTTCTCTCTGGTTTCTAAGCTGACAAGTAGCTGAAGGATGAGTTAACTACCTATATGTGGGGTGGGATTAAATGTAGCTCAGACTGTAAACAGTAACAGCTGTCTCTCTGTCTCTGTCTCTCTAATGAGAAGATAGGTTCTTGATGAAATACTAGAATACACCCTAGATGGTGGTCTCAATCAGTGTATTAGGTCCACGTTAAAAAATACTGTGAGCGCCTGCCGAAGTCGAGCAGGTGAAGGTTGCGTCCTGGCCACAGAAGGTGCTGCTTTATCACCCGGCACCTTGCCACCTCAAGTCCTAGTGTGTCCTCAAGGACAAATGCTGGTACATTGTACAAATACTGATGAACCCTTTCTGAAGAACGGAAGGAGGAAAGGATATGTGTGATGAAGAAAAATCCTGGCACCTGAGCCCTGAGGCATATATCTTCTGACTCTCTAGGGGTAGCTCTTAGGGGAAATGTCTGAGGTCCTGGATGGTGCTTTGCTCCTTTCTGAGAAGGCAACGCGTGCTGATTGCTTTGCCGAAAGGAAGCAGACTGTGGGGATGGCTAGGGAGGGGGTGGTGGGAGGCGGAGAGGTTGAGCAGCTGCAGGAGGAAACTACCCTGAGACTGAGGTTTAGCTCCTGGCCAGAGGGGAAGGTGATCCACCCCCAGTGTGATGGCATACTGCGACCAGACCCCGGGAGTGTCCCACGGGAGCGGGAGGGCGAGACCCAGGCCCCGCACCATTCATGCTTACAAGTGAAAGAGGCTGCAGAACAGAAGACTCACCCTAGGAAGAATAACTAAGCATAGAAAAAATACTGTCGAATAGTAAGAAGCAATTTGTGGCATGATAAGCTTCTTGTGGTATTCATGTAAATTTTTAGATATTGTAGAATTTCTGGGACTTCAGTGTGTATAAAAGCATAAAAGACTAGAATGAACTTATTTAAACTCATACCTTAGAAAAGATGAATAAAATCTAATACTTCGTTAATCATTACATTCTCCTACACTCAGATATGTTGTGTGAGGTAAAGTTCAATACTTGCAGATTTTTTTAGAAGATGAGCTTCGAGCTGGTTGTGATGGTGCACACCTATGGTTCCTGCCTTCTGGGAGGCTAAGGCGGGAGGACTGAAAGTTTGAGCTGAGCCGGCCCGTATCTTAAAATGAAAACTAAAAAGGGTTGGGTAGGTAGCTCAGTGTGAGGGCTGGGGGTTCGGTTCTTTGTGTCTGTCTGTCTGTCTCTCGGTTCTCACTCTCGCTGTCCACACACAGACACATTAAAATTAGAATTTGGCCACATTAAAATTTCAGTGAGTTTGTTTGAGCATTAAGTCTTGAATCAGGCAGAATTATACTGCAGACACTTAGGACTTCTCCCTCACCTAGTAGAGGAACTTCCCTACGATGTTCAGAGAAGCAAGGCAAAGAAAATACTTGATTGATTAAAGTACCATGTTGTTATTTAGAGATACTTGGTAATTTCTGATTGGTAATTTCTGACACTTAAGTTTAGCTGGTCAGAAAGCTTTAGTTGGTGGTTAGTTGGTGCTTTCTGACTGGTTACACTTAAGTGTCCTTTCATTGTGTATATTGAGTTGGGTTTTGCTTTGCTTATGCGGCAACCCAAGGTGCCGGAGCCCTCTTAGCCTGATGGGGTCCCAATTAATAATTTTAACATCTTGTAACATTCATTTACCTGGCCCAACAGACTTATATTTATAGTTAGTGTTTTAAATATGTAGCATATCAAATCATTGAGCGAAAGGTGTGATCTAAGTGTGATCCCAAAATCAGAAATGTTAAAAAGTTATAGTTTTGATTAAATATAATTATAACCATTGGGGAAAATTTTATATCGGAAGCTAAGGGCAAATGAGGGGAGGGGTGCATGTAAACAGTAAGTTTCGGAAGCTGTTTCCAGCGCTTATAAAGGAGGCGGTGAGAACGTGTGGGCAGAGCATGGTCCCGGCGGGTGGGCAGCCCTTTCAGTCCTTCCCTACAGACGGTCCAGTTACTGTTCTGTGACCTTGTTTGTGTAGGTGCTCTGTTCACCCAGTAGAAAGTTTTTGTGTTGGAAAAGAAGCCTTCGAAGCTACATTTCCCATTTTGTGTGTTTTGTTTCCTCCTACCACCCCACAGGTAATCACCTTGTAGGAAGAACCTCTATTTCCCTCTGATAGATACCAAATTTAAGGAACTTGATACTTCCAAAATAAGGTGAATGCTGAGTATAAAATATTACAGGGCACTGAGAAGTCTGAAAGTAGGATAAATCAAATGCTATTTAATCAAGGGAGTTGTATGTCTTAGAGTAAGAATGAAAAAAGCTTCCACAAAGGGACAGTCACCCTATGTTCTGCCTCTTGCTAATTAGGCTAGCTTTTCTTTATGGGGTGTGTACTTTTAGGTGAAGGGAAGCTGAAGCAGACTGGCATTGTATTATGATGCAGGGCAGGCTCATTCTTTTTCTTTTTTTTCTTTTTTTGGTGTTTTGAGACAGGGTCTTACTGTGTAATTCAAACTGGCCTCAAACTGGTGATCCTCCTGCCTCAGCCTCCTGAGTGCCGATTACAGGTGTGCAGCCGGCTCAGGGCAGGCTTACTTTTAACTCTTTCTAGGAAGTTTCTGTGAGACTCTGCTGAGAGAAGCTGCCCCGTTAGTGTGTTTGTGGGGTCTCTGTAGGTCAAAGTGGCCTAAGAGTCTGGAGACCAATAGGAGACCAATTCGCAAACGCAGGTTGGTCTTCACCTTCTCTGTCTTCCTTTTGTTGCCAGTGAGGTTTATAAAATGGGGAATTTGGAGCATGTTACAAAAAAAATACCTCATATAGTACATGTTTTTGCCTCCAGGAATTTCTGTCCAGGTAATGATTAGGCAAGCAGGTGAAGGGGCTTATTACAGGAGATTGTGATAGTGAACCTGTGGGTGCGACTGCGTGCCTGGGGTGAGGGTAGGTGCCGGTCGGGGCACTTCTCTCAAGTAGGATGTTGTGCAGAGACTGTGATAAAGCAACTCTGTGTTGAAGAAAATATGTAGGACAATTACAGTATATAATTGTCCATTTTAATGAGATATAAATATCTTCAATAAAGTTGTAGTAAAAGATGTATAGGTTTACTTGGGAACAATCTAGACGTATACTATAAGTTACAGTGTTTGGCTGGAAGGCTGTGGGGGAGATTGCAACTTACATTTTCAGTGCAAGAATAAAGACAAAAATAAGCATTTTCCTGCTATATTTGAGATGTTCAGTACATATCTGTGTTACTTGCTTATCAAAATTGATGAGAAATGTAGGTGTCAGATGTACGGAGTAATTGGAGGAAAGAATGGTGAGGTATACTTTTCTTTGTTTTTTTTTTCTGGTATTGGGAATCGAACTCACGACCTTGTGCTTGCCAGGCAGGCGCTGTGCCGCTGAGCTAAATCCCCAGCCCAGGTGAGGTGTACTTGTGTAGTGTACTGTATTTATGTAGGTTTTTCTCACAGGACAAAGAAATAGCCAGGTAATTTCAGCACTTGGGAGGGTGAGGCAGGAGGATTGCAGATTTAAGGCCCACCTGGGCAACTTTGTGAATCTATGTTTGCAAAAAAATCTTGGATTGTAGCTCAGTGTCAAGGCCCTGGATTCAGATCCCAGGACTGCGAATCAAAAGACAAACAAAAACCCTCGCTTTGCTTTTTTAATTGACAGATCTTCTCACTCAGATATGGCAACAAGCAACTTTCACTTTTCATCGTGTGAGACAAGACGGGAATCCAGACAGGTCCGAGGGTCTGACGTGAACAGGTGAGAAGGGTGTGTGGGTGCTCTCCGGGCCCTGGGAGAGCGGTACAGCCCTTTGGGGGGCGGGCGCTGGCACTGCCGTGCACCTCTGGGTTTAGGAGAGGCCTAGGCAGCTGCAGCACCACTTTGCAAATTAGGGCGGGTGGCGAGTAGCAGCTGCTAAGGGTCTCTGTGTTACTGAAAAGTAAAACTAAATTCAGTGTTGGAGACACCACTTTTATGTGAGTCTTTTTTATTTTTAGGCATTTTTAAATGATTATTTTTATCATAAAATAATATAACTACACTGCTGAACGTTGGAGAAGATAGAGGAAAGAAAAGAGAGAGGAGTTTTGTAGTTAGAATTGTATTAAATACACCACTTAGTAATCTTTGTAAAACTTTGTTTTCTTGACATTTCTCCTTTGCATTAGATATGTTCTACAGTGTATTTAGTGGTTAATTACTGTTCCTTCCTAACCCATTCTAGAATTAATTTAAGAAATTCTTTCTTGATTCAGTAAGTTGTTATGAGTTACCAAGGCAACTTGGTTAAAGCTGTTTATTGTCATGAGATTTTCTTCCCTTTTTACCGGTTTATTAAATTTTTAAAATTATGCAGCAGATCAGTTCAGCAGCTGAGATTTTACATTTGAAATTTCATTATACTCATGAATCTGGCAGTTTGTCTTAATATATGGAAGGTGCTGAGGAATACAAATGAAGTTGAAAATAACTTCTAAGGATCTTAAGGCATTTCTTTTCTCCACCTACCCCTTTATTTTTTGAGACAGGGACTTCCTCTGTAGTTCAGGTTGGCCCTTGAGCTCACTGTGCAGCCCAGGCTGGCCTCAAACACACAAACTCACAGTGATCCTCCTGCATCAGCCTCCTGAGTGCTGGGATTACAGGCGTGCAGCTCCACGCCCAGCTAGGGCATTTATTATTTTCCATATTACTTTTCTACTCCATGTGTCCCTTCTCAGGAAAATCTTTTTTTTTTTAAGAAAGAAATGTTTCTCCCTCGTTATCCTCTAATGCACTAGTTTACCCTTTAGTTCAGCAGTTTGCTAGGTAACTGCTGCATCATCGTTTATAGTGCTGCTTGTAGAAATGGTAATAAATAAAAATTACTGAACACATTCATGGAAAGCACTGAGTGGGTTTGTAGCCGGGCATCTTTGGCCTGCGTGTGGGTGTGGAAGTTAGGAGCTTTGGATGCCATTTAAAAGATAAAGCAAATCAAGACGTGGCAATGAGTAGAGGAAGGAAGCTTTGGGAATGTGGACAGTGAAAGATTACACAAGGAATGGGAGTTCAAGAGTGAGCTACAGAGACGTGAGAGAGGGGAGGGTGAGGCAGAGGCCACAGGGCAGGCAAGGGACTTAGGGAAGAGGTGAGCTCTGGAATCTTGTCAGCAGAGCTAGGTGTGCTACAAAACCTGCGGGGATACAGATGAACAAGGGTCCTGTAGTATTTTTGCTTTTGTTTTAAGTGGCACTGGGGCCTGAACTGAAGGCCTTGGGGCGTGCTAGGAAAGCAGTCTACCACTGAGCTACATCCCAGCCCCCCTCCTTTTTTTTTGTTTGTTTTGAGATAGAGTGTCTGCCTGAGTTGCCCAGCTTGGTCTTGAACTTGTGATCCCGCTGCCTCAGTCTTCCAAGTAACTGTGATGACAGCGTGCCCCGCCACACCTTTGCATTTTTGTGCAGCAGTGAGTGTGTCAGTGACCGTGAGCTTGGAAGGAGTTGAAGAAGTGGGAGTGCAGGAGCTTGGCTGTGGTGGCTGAAGATGTCAGTTGTTTCTGAAGCTCTTGTCTAGGAAGAGAAGGGGAGAGACAGTACGTTAGTCAGCTTTCTTTTACTGTACCAGGTGTCTGAGATGATCAGCTTACAAAGACAAAAGGTTTACTTTTCGTTCACAGTTTTGGAGGTTCCGGTCTATGGTCGCTTGGCGCCCTTACTTTGGGCCTGTGGTGAGGTGGCACATCGTGGGAAGAGTGAGTGGCGGAGCAAAGCCACTTACTTTGTGGCCAGGAAGCAATTCAAGCACATCCCACAGTCACCCAAGACCTCCCGCTAGGTCCCGCTGCTAGGGATTCCTCGGTCCCTTGACAGTACCTCCTCGGAGACGAGGCTTTCGACACGTGGGCCTTTGTGGGGGACTCGTGGGTCCAGACCATAGCAGGAAAGCTGTGTTTGGGTACAAAGCAAGGTTGAGGGGAGTTGCCTGCTGGGATTAGGGTGGTGCCAAGCCAATCACTGGGCTGATTTGGTGATGACCCACCCTCAATCCTAGCACCCTTAGTCCTAGCACCCTCAATCCTAGCACCCTTAGTCCTAGCATCGCCCCATGAATCAGTCACACTCTGGATCCAAGCACCTCCGAAAAAGCCCCCCATATGATGACCACATGAGGCTTAGGGGGCGTCGAGACACAGCTGTGACCCTGAGTTTGCTTTGGATAGAAACGAGCAAGATTTGCACTTGTCTCTGAGCTGGGAAGGGGTCAGAAAGAAATTAAAGACATATACAGGAAGAAATGGTGAAATACAAGAAGTAATTTAGAGATGTTTTCACTGTAGTATTAATATTTGCAGATCTTACAGCCTTCCAAACAGAAAATAAACAATAAAAATTCCCACTCTGCCTTTTAACCAGTGGGCCTTCAAATGTGTAAATGAAACAAGCATTTACAAGTGTACTGTGGAGCAGCCCCAGCAGACCGTAGCAAGTGAAGATGCGTGCAGCAGAAGTAAGTGTGGCTCTTAGGCAGTTAGGGTGCACGGAAAGTAACAGCCTCCCCAATATGTCTCGTGTACCCCACTCCACAGTACCTCTGTGCTGCTTTAAACAAGGGGGTGAGGCAGGCAGCAAGGGGGCTTTGGTCATTTAACAAATGGAACACCTGGGTATTAAGTGACATAAACAAGATATACTGCCGGGTTGTGATAGAATTGTAATCTAATGCTCTGTCTTTTCATTTCTAGGCTGTGTACCTTTCATGAACCTATTTTCCTCTTTGGTTATAATTTGTGATTTGTTTAATTGTAAAAGTATTTTGAAGCTGGACCTGGTGGAATGTGCCTGTAATTCCAGCACCTGGGGAGGCTGAGGCAGGAGGATCACAAGTTGTAACCCAGTCTGGGCAACCTAGCCACTTAGCAAGACTGTCTCAAAATAAAAAATAAAAAAGGGCCGGCCATGTAGCTCAGTGTGAAGCCCTGGGTTCAATCCCAGTCCAGCAAACAAAACAAAACAAGAAACAAAAAATGCTTTTTGACAGTCATGGTTTCTTTTGATTCTTCTTTTAAGCTACAAAGATTAGGAGCAAATCTACATATAAAGATCCTAATGTCCAAAGAAGTACATGACTAGCTAAAATGCCGAAGGGCTCTGAAATTCTTTTGAGCTTCTTGTGGTATCTTTAAAGGGCACCTTTATTATCATTGTAACCGTTGAGTTTGTGTCGTCAGGTCTGTTAAGGCAGTAGTTGTTGGAGCAGGTGCGTTCACGGTCACTTTGGAAACTGAGGGAAGACTTTCCATGCTGGTCCTGAGCTTCCCATCCTTGCTTCCTCCTACCACATCTCTTCTTTACAGGTGGGGCTTGCCTTTGCCCCAACCATAGGAAGTGGGCTGATGTGAAGATTGCCCATTTAAAATCCCTGAGATAAAGTGTGTCTTTTCATTTTTACCTATTTGAGGAAATCAAACACAAAGCAGGAGTCTTGAGTCTCATAATAAAGGAATAGAGAAAACTTTCTGTGGACTGCCCTGTTCACTTACGGCTTAGACGTTCGGCCTGCTGTGAGCACACGACATTGCTACCTCGAGTGACTTAATGAAGGTTCACTTGGGGAATCCTAGAGTAATGCAGGGGGTTCTGGCCATTCAGGAAGCTGCACTCCAGAGAACCTTTAAGGGGACATAGTTTCCAAATCGCCAGATCATGAAGATTATGGCAAAACTTTGACTGGGGCTAGTGGGAGAAGAGGGGGAGCTCTTGCTGTGGTGAGTGAGGAGTGCTGGGTAGGTGAGCTCTGCTCAGCAAGGGGAGAGTTTCAGTTTTGCAAGATGAAAATATTCTGGAGATGGTGCAGGAAAGTGAATATTCGTATTGCTAAACTGTACACTTAGAAGTGATTAAGAGTGTCAATTTTGAATGTATTTTACCACAGTTTAAAAATAGGAAAGAATCCAGGTTAGCTTGCCTGTCATTTATGATGTTCAGCCTAGTTCTTTTGTTCTAAATTCTTTCTTTGTGCTAGGTGTATTTTTCTCCGCTGTGGGGCGTCTCTACCGTTGCGTCTTGGGAAGGTCCCTCTTGGGATAAGGGAAAATCTCTGCGCTGAGTTCAGGAACGCAGAGGCAGGGCTTGGCGAGCTTCCTGCTGCACTGCTGCGCTCCCCTGGCTGCTTTCTTGTGCATCTGACTTCCCGGCATCTTCACTAATGGGACAAACCAGGGCAGTTGCCAGTGTTTGCCACGAAGACATTGTAAAATCAGTTGTATTAGAGACATATGGGGCAGTGCAGGAATATTACCATACTGTTAAAGAGCAGCTCCTTATAATCGTACTTCCTAACCAGTCAGTAGAGGAAGAAAAGGTGCTACAGCCCAAGTACTTTAAGTGAATTTGTGTGTCTGACTCTGTTTTCCCAGAAAGATGAACAGAGCCTGCTCCTTGCCTTAATGAGCAGCTGTGCCGCACGCAGACGTGAGGTGGTGCTCCCTGGCACACGGGCGGCTCGGGACCAGAGCGCTCGTCCCGCTTCCGGTCCGAAGCACGAGCAGACTGTGCTCTTGAGGAGACGCTAGAAGGTTTATGGCTTAGAAAATTATAACACTGGCCCATTCCTTCTAGTGCGTGGTTTAGTTGCATCTTTATGCTTTCGCATTTGTCTCCTTCCTGATCCTCAGAGCGGCAGTGTTGGTACCGTTGAGCAGATACTGCCGTGTCTTCCTGTCCTTTTGCAGAGGCGAGGATGCAGCTTTCTCCGCAGGCTCATCACCCAGCGACGCTGTGGTCGTTTGTGGACTCGAGGGCCTTCCCCTCTCCGTAACTGATGAGAAAGGGTGGTGAGTCTGCAGGCCGCTGCCGGCTGTGGGTGTTTCTGACCTCAACTCCACACAGCCGAGTCAGTGGGTCTGAGGTGCCTCGGCCTGGAGCTCTCGACGGCAGGGAAAGCTGGATTCTCAGATAGGTTCTTGATTTGGAAAAAGGCCCTGGATTCTCCAAGACTGAAGTTCTCCAAGGAGTAAACTCTAGTCCCATTGCTATTCTGGGTGTAAAATTCTCTTTAGTTCTTGCTTAGAAAGAGCCTTTGGCTTATGCTTGTAGTCAATCAGATATTGTTGAGGGGTTAGACGTATAAAGATCAAACTCTCAGCTTTGTTATTCTTGAAAACTGTATTGGAGGACAGAGCTTTGAGTGTGGGCCTTCTGCCGTAGCCTCAATGGGACGCAGGCCCTGAGTTGAGGCCTCCCTTTGCAGCGGGTGTGAGAGAGCTTGCCCTTCTCAGCTCACTGCAGCACAGAGAGATGAGACTGTTACGCATCTCTGTCCCTGTATAAAGGGAGCTGGGCCACTCATGCCTGGATTTTTTTTCCAAGTCACCACTTGGGAGAAATATAGAGGGGAGAAGAGTCCAGTAGCGTGAATCTAGCACAGTCCCCATTGAGGAAATATGGGCCTGGTGGACGTGCTCCCCTCTTACCACTGTTGATGTACAACATCCACGTGTGGTAGGCTGAGGCAGGAGGATTGCTGCGAGTTCGAGGCTAGCCTGGGCTACAAAGTGAGTTTAAGTCCAACCTGAACTGGACAATGAAACCCTGTCTTAAAAACACTAAAAAAAAAATGTAGGACAGGAAAAATTATTTTCTCATCCATAGGTTGAGTTATGGCTGAAGCTCCTGTAGTAAAAGACAGATTAACAAGAGAAATGTGTACAAGTTTGTTTAACATGTTTCACATGATGTAGGAGCCTTTGGTAAGGAAATGAAGCACCAAAGAAACTAGGAGACCTACGTTGCTAACTTCTCCCATTATTGCTGTTAGATCAAACCCCCCATGTATGCCTGCCCTCACCCAGGACTGTCCACTCTGCCAGTCTCTCCCTGCCCAGCCCAAGTCCGAAGAAATTGTGGTTCTCAGAGGGCAGAGATGAAGTGTCCAGACAAGTAACCGAAAGTGGCGCTGGGCGACCGTGCTGTGGTTTCCCAGGACCGGTCTCTGAGGGGTCTGTGTATGAATGGAAGTCTCTGGTGGCCGCTCTTGAGGCAGAGGGCTGGGTGTTCTTAGCACAGCAGAATGGGAGAGCAGAAGGGGTCTGGGTGTACTTAGCAAAGAGTCCAGCATCGTGTCTGCTCTCCGCTCCCCTAGTCCACCCCCCCCCACACGTGCTTTTTGGGGTTTCATGAACAAATTTGCACACGTTGACCATTTTATAAGGAACAGGACTGACGTGTTGCAAGCGGCTAGGTTTTCTGCTTCTGTTTGAGGTTTTCTAAACAACAACTCTTTAGAAAATACTGCTTCAGGTTTTCTGAGCTTGTTTGTATTTATTCTCTCTTCCATCTTGACACTTATATTGTCCTCATTCTGAGCACTGCCAGCTTGTCTGTCAGTGTACTAACTGATTCGATAAATGAACAGTTTATTATTCCTTTAACTGTTCCATACCTGGCAGCGCTGGATTATTGAAAGCTGTTTAGAGTGCTTACAAGATGGTGGTAATTACTGGACACTGTGGTATCTCAGATGCTACTCTAAATGCATTTTGTGTGTTGATGGTACCACTTGTGATGTGGACACTTTCACTAGACCCATTTACAGATGAGGAAACTGAGTTCTAGGAGATTTTTTTTTTTTTTTTTTTTTTGTACCAGGAATCAAACTCAGCACCTTGCACTTGCCAGGAAGGCGCTTGTGCATCTAAGCTATATCCCAGGGCCTGGAAACTAAGTTCTAGGAAAGAGAAATGACTTGCCATGGCCATGTTAGTTAGGGGTGAAGTCCGGAAATGAGTAGAATGATCTGGCGGCCAGAGCCCAGATCCTTCCATTACAGTAAATGTAGCTTTTTTTCACCCAGGCTTATTAAGTTACTAATAAGAGAAGTAGAATTGGAATGAAAGAGTAGCATTGTCCCATACTGCCAAATTTTTTAATGTTTTTTTTTTTTTTTCTTTTGGTATCGAGTATTGTGTCCAAGGCTTTGCTACTGAGCTGTAGCCCCAAACTCCTTAAATCTGTTTTTTTTTTTAAAGCTTGAGGCAGGGTCTCAGTAAGTCACTGAGTTGCTCTGGTTGGGCTCAAACTACAATTCTTACCTTCCCAGGGTGCTGGGATTATAGGCATGCGCCACTGCACCCAGCTAGGTTTGTATTTTTTATTTTTTTTTTTTTTTTTTTTTGAGACAGGGTCTCCCTATGCAGTTCAGGCTGGCCTTGAGCTCACTTTGTAGCCCAGACTGGCCTTCAATGCACACCAATCCTCCTGCCTCAGCCTCCCGAGTGCTGGGATTACAGGTGTGACCCACCACGCCCGCTTTGTATTTTTTTTTGAAATAAGACTAAAATACACGATCTGCTTTAAATTAATGTATCTTTTAAATCAGAACTGAAAAGAGTCTTTGCTTACCAAGAATATACGTAAGAAAGGCACTTGGGCGCACTCTGTGTGGCCTAGCGTATGAGTGTGTGGGCTGAGTGTCTTTGGCATTTGCAGATTTGGCATGGTTGTTACTTTGTGTAGAAGAAAGTTCACACAACACGCTCATAGCCACAGTTGCCTTTGTCTGTCCTGTACAAGTTGTCACACGGGAGAGCATTTGGGCATCTCAAAGACAGGCAAGAAACCCAGAGAGTTTAAGGGCTCCGGAGAAAGACAGTGCCGGCTGCACATTTCTAGTCCGGGATCTTTTCATTGTGTCACTTGAGCTTGAGGGGGACGCTGTCGTGACAAGTCTCGCACGTACGTGGCTGTTGTTAAGAGCTTTCTTCACCACGCCCGTGCAGGCGGTTGGACAGTGTGATGCAACCGGATTTCTAGGCCTGGAAGCCGGGCGAGCAGGTTGTATTCATCTGACAGGTGTTTGCAGCCGTGTTTAGTTGTTCGTCTAAGGAAGCAGTGTCATGAACATGTGCTCCTTGTTTAATTCTCCAGGGTGAATTAAGGTAGAGTTAGTATCATGTGATGACCGGGGCTCACGTGAGGCCTGAGTCAGAAGCTGTGGGGCAAGGCCTCCAGGTGAGGGTCCTATGCCCAGATTTGAGCACCATGTACTCCAAGCGGTAGGAGTGAGGAGAGTGTTCCTGGGGAGCGTTTCAGAATTCAGACCTGCTGTGAATCCCATCTCAGTTCATGTGGTGACAGTGGAAGTGGAGAGGAACAGGTGTCTGTGAGACAGGTCTGAGAGAAGTCCTGTCCCAGATTAAGGGTGCGGAGCACTTGGTAGCACTGTTTTGGGGGGTGTGTGTGTGGAGGTGGCTCTTTCTTAGCGAGCCCCTTGGGAGAGTTGAGGGTACCGTGTTTGCAGGTAGGCGCTGCTTTGCTTGTCCCTCCAGGCTGGGGCAGGTGGGATATGTGTGCCCAGGTGACTGCGTGGCCAGCCGAGGCGCAGGTGGGCAGGGGCACCAGTATCCGTTCGCGGCCCTTTCCTGGCAGTCAGGAGGTGCTGTAATCTTAGAAGTGGTGGGAGCGAAGCTGGGGATCAGGTGGGTGGTAGGACTGACAGTCGGGGGAAGGGGAGGGAGGGAGGGAGAGGGGGTTTCTGAGTCTCAGAACAGACTCCCTCCTTCCTGCCTTCGTGGCTTCAGCCCTCGTTTGCTCCCGCTCTCTACCCTCCTCACGAGTTTCTGATTAGAACTCTGCTCCCAACCCAGAAGCTCCCCGGCTGACTGCATTGTGCAGCGCTCAGAGCTTACCTTTCTGGAAGGCTTCCCGTGACCCTCCTCAGGCATGTGGGTCTTCTGTCGTGTCCCGGCTCTGCTCCCCAAATCAGGTTCTCTCTCAGGCTGCTCACCCAAACTGAGGGATCCTAGTCACTGACCTCCCTGTGTAAGTCTGCTCGCCTTTCTTCCTGGGCCGGGATCCAGTGCGTCTCTTTGTAGCTGCACGGCAGCACCTGGACAGGTCCTGGCATGCGGCCCATAAGAATTAGTTGAATGAATTCAAGGGAAAGAGTTGCTGGGGTGGTAGGAGAAGCTGGTCTGCAGACACGAGGCCGCCCATGAGAGGTGCGAATGAGACAGGATGGATCCAGGAGACAGTGTACTTTTTTTAATGCTGGACATTGAATCCAGGGGCACTCAACTACTGAAATACATGCCTAGTCCTTTTATTAAAGTTTTATTTTGAGACAGAGTCTTACTGAATTACCCTTACTGGCCTTGAACTATAGTTCTCAGCCTCCAGAGTAGCTGGGATTACAGGCTTGTGCCACTGTACCTGGCTTTCATGGCTGACTTTTACAGGCTGAGACTATCAGACCTTCATGGGGTGGGTGTAGGGAAACTTCCCTTCGTGTGAGTGAGAATTGTAGCCTTTCTTCCTCCAGAGTCCACATACATACTTCCTGGGACAGCATGCTAATAGTCAAAGTTGTAATGATTCTTCCTATTTTTTTCTTGATCTTTAGTTCGTCTTCAACCAAGGTGGATCTCAAGAGTGGTCTAGAAGAATGTGCAGTGGCATTGAACTTATTTCTAAGTAACAAATTTACTGATGCCTTAGAATTGCTTCGTCCATGGTAATTATTTCTTTTAGAGAAATTTTTTCAAATAGTTCTTTGATGTCATGCTTGTAAGTTAATTTACCTGTTTTATTTGAATGTTTATAATCTAACATGATTGTGTTGCCTTCCTGTTGTTCAGCTTTAAAATCAGTTAAACAATGTCATTTCAAGGTCCATCCATTTTCCTATGAATGGTTCACATTTATTCTTCATACCACATTTTCTTTATCCATTCATATGTTGATGGGCGTATAGGCTGCTTCCATAATTTAGCTAATATAACTTGTGCTAATATGTATAAACGTGGGTATGCATGTATCCCTGTAATACAATCTCTTTGAGTGTTTGGGTAAAATACCCAGAAAAAGTATAGCTGGGTCAAATGGAATTTCTATTTACTTTTCTTGTGGAATCTTTACACTGATTTCCATAGGAAAATGGATGGATCTTGAGACCATGATACTAAGTAAAATAAACCAGACGCGGAAGGCTAACTGTTACATGATTTCTTATATGTAAGAAACTCCAAATATAAATGATCTAAAGTAAGTAAAAGAGATGCTAGAAAGCAGAGAGATAGACTCTGTGATGATGGGAAGGGCATCTGAGGAAGGGTTGGGGTGGGAGAGAAAGGAAAGTAAATCATTAGGATGCAACGTGCGGATGCACCAGTCCCCCAGTCTGAATGTGGTTACCTTTCTTTTGATCAGTATGTGTTTGCAGTACAGAAGGATTGCATTTCCGGTTGGGGGCTGGTGCACGTGCCTAACACGTCTGAATCCCTTTAGGTCTCCTGCTCTGCCTCTCCCTCCCTGTTCCTTCCATCTCTTGCTCCTCTTCCCATTTGCAAAAGCTCTGTGTCCATTTTTTTCATTGCCTTTTTTTTAGTATCTTTCCCTCCTCCATCTCTTGTTCCTGTTTCCATTTGAAAATGATCTTCCTACTTCCTGTTGTCTTTCTCTTTTTTTTTTTTTTTCCCTTTATTTATAATTTGGGTTTCTCTTATAAGATTGCAACATTTTTTTTTTGGTATCAGGAATCAAAGTCAGGAACTTACACTTGTCAGGCAGGTGCTGTGCAGCTGAACTACATCCCCAGATCTAGGGTTGCTCATATAAGAGAAACCATGTAATATTCAAGCTTGTGTATGTGATTTATTCAATTAAATTATGTAATTATTATGTATCACAAAAATATCATTGAAAAAAGTTTCTTTTGACTGAGGAGAACTAAAATAGGCTAACCTTAATACTAAAAAGAATTAAGGTGTTAGGAATTTTGAGATTCCCCTGTTTATGTGAAAAGCCAGCTAAGCAATTTAATTTCAGTTAATAGCAATTTAATTTCAATTGATAATAACTCTTAATTTTTCAAACTGATCAACAGAACCTTGGCTCAGGCAGCCAGGTGTGGTGGCACAGGCCTATAATCCCAGCACTCAGGGAGGCTGAGGCTAGAGGATCACCACAAGTTCAAGACCAACCTGGGTGACATAGTGAGTTCAAGGTCAGGCTGAACAATATAGCAAGACCCTGTGTCCAAAAACAAACAACTGCACACACACACACACACACACACCCCACACCCCACACAAACTCAAACCGTTTAGTAGCCCTCACTTTGATCACAGTCACCAACTCTACTATGTGTCACTATAGCTGGAGGAAATAATCTTACTTTGTGCCTTCAATCATGGTCAGTTTCTTAGGCGAAGCTTAGAACTCACCTCATAAACTTTTAGACAATTACTTGGGCTCACAGGTGGGGAACCCTATTCTTTACTTCAAGCGTACTGCAGTAGGGCGATCTGAATTGAATTAATTTACCCCCCGAGGAGCTTGTAACTCTAAGACTGGGAGTCGCCGTGATCACGATTGCTCAGTTCATATTCAGGAAGTCAGGAAGGAATGACGAAGTAGATGGTGAAGCCATCGTGAGGAAATTGCCCGGTGTTGTCTCCTGACGCTTGTCTCCCTGTCCCTGCTGTCCTAGGTTCCCCTTTCCTTCTTGAGGTCCCTCGACCGTCTCTGTCTCTTTTCGGCCCTCTGCCTCCCTCTGTTGTCTCCTCCACTTGCTCGTCCCCTCTTTTTTTCTTCTGCTGCCTCCTTGCTCGTGCTCCCTCTCCCTTTCCTGTATTTGTATTCAGACAGGCCTCCGTGCCGCGCCCCTGATGGCCACCTCGTCACACGGAGTGAGGACGCTCTGCTCTGTGCTCAGTTGTTTTGTGTTCCCGAGTCACTATTAGAATACCTTTTTCCAGTTGAATCAGTTTTTTCCTCTTGAGAGAATTTGCAGTTAAAAATACGAAGTTGGGAACCACAATTAATGCTTAGCTTTGGCAGCTTTGAGTCCTCGTGGTCCTTTGGATTAGGCGGCGCCCTTACTAAGCGGACACTGTTACTGGGGATGCTGAGAGTCCCACGCGGGGGGCCGGTGGGCCTGCGGCTTGTCTGTGCCACTGCAGCAGGCTGCTGAGCATTAACGCTGAAGTCCAGGACCGCGCAGGAGTTCATGGCAGAACCGGGGACTGAACCCCGCGTCTCTGCCACCCTGAGCGTTTCTACCACTGAGCCCCACCCCTGTCCTAGCGCTGATACTTAAACATTATCGACATGAAAGCTTTGAGGAGAGATGGTTATGCTTTCACAACCAGATGTTAGAATGAATATCCTTAGATTCCCGAAGCTGTTCTCACCGACAGATAGTTTGAATTATCAAGAACTTGAACCAGGAACCTGAGATAGTGCAGTGAGATCGGAGGCAAGGTGGAAAGTTCTCCTTGGTCCTTCGTGGCTGATCTCATTGCAGAAATCTTGCTTCCCTCTTGGCCTTTCGCTGCGGAGGAGAGGGAATGCTTTTAAAGGAACGTTTTTCTTTCAAAAACATGGTTTTCTTTCAAAAACAAGATGTATTTCTCCTAGCCTTTATTTTAGTATTTACTTTATATTTGAAGATAATACATTGCCTTTTGTTCAACTGGAAAAAACTGGTTTCCTTTGAAAACTTTCCTAGGCAATGAGTCCTCGGGCTGCCCCCTTGTGCTGAAACAGGGAAAAAGCGTGTTGTCTACTTTATGCCTCGGCCTGGAACGTTTTGTTCCGCCTGTGTGGGTTTCAATTGGAAAGGCCTTGCTTCCTGAGTGTGTAGGAGCGTGCCTCTGCCAGTCCACTTCATCTCACTGATTGTGGTAAAGGAGTGAAGGGTACTTCTGTGGAAGTCGGGACAGGCGTCTACTAGGATTTCCTATGATTAGTCTCTGACCAAACCGGGAATGTTTTTTTCTTTTTTTCCTGCTGAGTGGACATAAACTAATTTCTTGTGTTCTCCCCAGGGCCAAGGAGAGTATGTACCACGCTTTGGGCTACAGTACCATTGTGGTGTTGCAGGCTGTCATGACCTTTGAGCAACAGGACATTCAAAATGGCATTTCTGCCATGAAGGACGCCTTGCAAACCTGCCAAAAGTATGACTGAGTCGTTACATATTTGAGACGAGACTCCAGACCCTGGGCCTGTGTGGTGAAATGGGGCTGTTTGCCTGAGGGAGCGCTCTGTGGTTGAGGTTGCGCAGAGCTGCGGAAAAAGACTTTAGCTTCAAAGCTTCTCAGCCTCGTGCAGTTTCATATCGTTAAAAAGTTTTTATCAGGAAGTGTAGTGTGGGTGCCGCCGGCTTTTTTTTTTTTTTGATACAGGGGATTGAGGCCAGCATCCTCACATTGAGCTATATCTCCAGCCCTTTAAATTTTTTTAAGATAGGATCTTGCTAAATTTCCCAGACCGGGATGAAATTTGCAATCCTGCCTCCGTCTCCTGGAGTGCTGGGATTACAGGCATGCAACCCCCTACCGAACCTTTCCACTTCTTTTGATAGCTTGGGACCTGAGCTGCAGAGAGAGTCTGAGGAAGGTTTCAGTGGGTTCAGCTGAAGGACATGTTGAGGGGCTGCGAGGTGGATGAGGTTTAGCAGTACTGCATGCCACGCCAAGTCAAGCAAGGAGCATATTTATTTTATGTGGGAGATGCTGCACTTTCAGAAGAGAATGTTTTATTCACCTAAGATGGTCATATTTGGACAGTTCTGATGGGTGAAAACGACATAGTTTTTTTAGTTTTATTTTAAGCTTTACTGTGTGTACAGGAAAGCCCTAGTATAAGCTATTACTGATATTGGTGACTGTTAACATAGGTAAAATTAATCCTCGTGCAGTTATGTTGTAAGCATTCAAGTGAAGAGCATTTCCAAGTAGTGCACTCTAATTGCACTTGTTAGCTGGTGGATACTGTCACCAGAGAAATACTGGTTTTAGCCGTAGAGGTAAGGGCAGGTGCTTTGTAGGTTTAGCACTCCCTTGCACATGCGTGTTCGTCCACACATGTGTTTTAGTAACATGATTGATTGCCTGCAGCTGCCCGCCCAGGGCCAAGAGCTGGGTGTGCACTTCTGGAAGGAGGTGGCCTCTGCCCGGAAGACTTTGGGGTTTAGAGTTCTAGTTAGTGACCCTTTGGTGCGATTGTGATGGGAATAAATGTCAAATGAAAACTGGCTCAGTCTGATCTGTTGGTATTTTTCTTTGTTCCCCATCTTTCCTTCTGTCTGTTCCATGCAGATATAGGAAAAAAAGCACAGTTGTAGAATCTTTCTCGAGTCTCCTTTCTCGAGGATCCCTAGAACAGCTGAGTGAAGGTAAGAATTGTTTACATGATTAAAGTTTCCTTATTTAAATTAAAGTATGCTTGTGTTCGTAAAATTCAATCCCAAAGTGGAGAAAGGAAATGGAAAGTCCCTTCTGTTCCCCTGCACACTTATCCCGGAAGTAAGCATAGTAATGCTTGGGTTTGGAGTTTGCAGGCTTTTCAATGCACACGTGCAAGTACACGTAAGGGACACGTAGGGCTTCTGTTGTTGTCCTTACGTGGGTCACTTTTGCAAGCATGGATTCATATCAGACATGTCCCCAAGTATGATGTTGTTCCAGGTCAGCACATGCAAATGTAATACATCATGTTTTCACAGCTGTGCAGAGTATTACATAGGAAGGGTATAACATAGCATACCTTATTTGTTTTTTCTCTATCAGAAGAGTGGTACATAGTTTTTATTTTTTCACTGTTACAAATAATGCTGTCCTAAAATTCTTGTACCTATGTTTTCATGCATTTTTCAAATATACCATAGGGTAGAGTTCTAAGTGTAGAATTATTAGGATAGACAGTTTGAAAATTTAAAATATTTACAGGTATTGCCAGTTTTCCATGAAAACTTAAGCCATTGGATATTCTTACTATCCTTCTGTGAGAATTTCAGTTTTCTACAATCTACTGAATTATTTTTGTGAAGTAAAAGAAACTTTGATACCTTTTAAAAAGTAAAAATGCTTCACAGAATGGAAAGTGTTTAGTTTGTGGACATTTAAGAAAATCGGGAATCCAAGAATGTCTGGAAGTTACAAAAGTTTGAGATTAAAAGCTTCAAAATCAGCCAGGTGTGGTGGCACATGCATGTAATTCCAGCACGCGGGAGGCTGGGGCAGGAGGATCATTGCAAGTTTGAGACCAGCCTGGGCTGCAAAGTGAGCTCAAGGCCAGCCGGAACTGCATAGCGAGACTCTGTCTCAGACAAAAAAAGGGAAAAAGTTTCAAAATGAGTCTTGTTTTATTACTGTCACACTCTAGTAAGGAAGGTTTATCCAGAAGGAGCACCCAGGTTGTCCTGCAGAAGAAAGCAGTATGCCCTTTGAAAGTTTCTGTCATCCCAGGAGAATTTGTGCCTGTTTTCATTGTCAGACTCGTTCTCTGGAAGAAACACAGAACACTAGGAGTTTAGTTAAAGCAGGAGCCATTCTGGAAACTGCTGCCAAAGGCCTTCTTACTGGTCAAGGAAAAATGTGACATGTATGTTTGAGTGTGTTTTATCACAGAGCTTTGTTTATTTCATTAGGCAAATGTTATCAGCTTGTTACAGAAATCAGAGAACGTGGGACCAGTTGCGCGGTGTGAGTTTAGAGCGTTGATTGCAGAGAGGGTTATGACACATTTTACATCTCCGGGCTTATTCTAGGAGGGTATACTACTGATTTCCAAACATGGTATTTCACTGGTCACCCCAGGCAGCTGAAACCCATCTTTTTCTTCCTCCAGAAACTAACCTCCATGTATCTATAAGGATAGAAATTGATCCTTCAGGTCCTGAGTGTGACGGTTGTGTGTTTATGCCAGATGCATGAGATGTGTCTCCTTCAAATACTGTTAGAATGTCAGTACATAGTTATCTGATGTGAGGAAAAAAAAAGAAAATTGGCACTAGTAGCCTGACATCCTCTAAAGAGGGTTGTGGGAGACGATATAAGGCTCCAGTGAAACCTGACTCTTGCATTTGCGTTCTTTTTTCTGTGTCTGTCTACATGGCTTCTCCCCTGGCCCAGTGATCCTGCCTCCCTGTCTCTTTGTAGTACGGAAGTGATGTGGGTGATTTTTTTTCTCCCTCAGTTTTAGGAAGAATGACGTATTTTTGGCATGAATGTGAATAATAATAACTTTAAAATAATAACAATAATACCTCATTTTAAAAAGATATGATTAAAAGTATGATCAAAATGCGTATGTGTTGAAACCTCTCCCAAGAATGTGAAACGAAGGAGGAGGTTAGGGCAAGCGGGGAGTTGCCTTGGGGTGATTAAAGTGTGCTGTGTGCATTTACAGATCTGTCAGAATGAGGCCCGTTGATTCGTATGAGCAAATGCACTTATAAAGGGGGAACAAAATAAACAGCAGCCACAGTCTCCCAACGAACATAATTTATATGGAATTACTTGGAAAAGCCAGAACAAGGAAAAATCTCAATTTGAATGAGAAAATAAATCCATAGATACTAACACTCAAATAACGTAAGTGTTGAGATTATCTGACAAAGATTTTAAAGCAACTCTCAACAAAAACTGTCCCGCAAACAATTATGGGCACACTCTTGGAAAAGATGGAAAACTAGAAAATTTAGAGAATGGAAGATACAAAGAGAATCAAAAGGAAATTTAAGAACTGAAAAGTACAATATCCAAGATTTAAGCTGGGTGTGGTTGTGCATGCCTGTAATCCTAGCACTTGGGAGGCTGAGGCAGGAGGATCACCACAAGTATGAGACCAGCCTAGGCTACAAAGTGAGCTCAAGGCCGAACTACACAGCAAGACCCTGTCTCAAAAAAGACAGCTCCCTGCAACAGCTCCCTCCCCCACAAAAACCAAAAACCCAAGATTTAAAAAAGACAAACTCAGTGGCTGAGTTCAGTAACAGAATGTAGATTGGTGGAAGGTCAGTGCAAATTACCCAGTTTGGATATCAGAGAGAAAATAGATTGCAAAACTGAGTAAAGTTTCGGGGCCCTGTAGCCAAAAGCTCTCACATTCATGTTGCCGGAGTCCCAGAGAACAGAAGAAAGTGCAAGGATGAAAAATATTTGGGGACATAATGTCTGAAAACCCCCCAAATTCGTTGAAAGAACAAACTATACAAATTCAAGAAGCTCAGCAAGACCTGAAAAGGATAAATGCAAAGAAATTCTCCCTCAGACACATCAGAATCAAAATGCTAAAAAGTAGACCAAAAGAGTTGCATCAGACATGCATGAAATTCTGTTTTTCACGTTGGCACCTAGATCTTAAATAGTAGAATTGTAAATGGTTTTATTTTTATGAGACCTTTCATAATATTTCATCCTTTCCAAAAGTTACGTGGAATTTCTCAGCTCTTGCTCGTGCCCAGTCTCTCTTTCCTGCTCCATGCAAGATGCCTTTATTACAGGTGTTGCTCCCATGAAATCACTTGCTTGCAAAATGAAAACAAAACCGACACAACAGAAACACACAAACTTTTCTCAGTGTTTTCTTTGACGTGAACCAATCTAACCTAGGTAACCTGCTCTTTGTAAACCAGGAACTGGTATGCAGAGAGAATACCTAAGTGGCCAGGGTCACCCGTATAGCAGAGCAGGATTCGAACTTGATCCACTTTTTCCTAAACCACGAGTCTTTCCACTGAGCCCGCACTTGCCCCTGCAGGAGGGTACAGATTATGTTGCCTGCGTATGAGGGAAATGTTGGATTATTCCTATGTCCAAAATCTTGAAAATAAGTGCTGCTGTGTTCTCTGTTTATAATGTCTTTGGACAACACACTTCAGGAGATCCGGGATAAAGTAAAACATTACTCTGTACCGATTAAACGTAGACATGCTCTTTTAGACGTCGTACGTGAAGGCGTGCCCAGTGCACGTCTCAGGGCACGCTGCGTGCACGTCCTTCCGAGGACGTCAAGCGCGCGTACCGACCCCGTGATAAAGGGAATCAGTGCGCACCACAAATGCACCGATAGACGAGAGCGATTCCCGCAGGTGTCTGCTCGTAAATGCCCAGTGGCTGATTTTGAGAGCCTAGAAGCTGCGCAGTGTAAATCAATCACAAAGAAATTTAGGACTTTTACAGATTAAGTTACATTTTATTCCCAGGGAGCTTGGCTGTTAGCACAACCCAAGCAGACTCTGTGTTAAAGGGAGCATGTCAAAACATTGTAGCTTTCGGGTGTGATTCGTTTTCCTCTGGGTGATTTTCATGTGCATCCTGGAGTGTTTGGTTGTCTCAGGAGTTGAGACACTTGCTCTCCTCTGGAGGCCGGTGGACTGCGCTGCGCGGGTTTGGGGTGAGTTTAAAACGGGGCGTGTGAACGCGTTGGCTCGGATGAGAGAGGGCCGAGTATGAAGGGCACGTACTCTCAGAACGCGGAGCTCACTCCGTGCTTTCTGTCTCTGCTCTCCCGTTCGGTCCTCTATGCCGGCTCCCTCCGCCTCCGCTCGGCTCTCAGCCAGGTCTGCTGAATCAAGCCCAGACGCTAATGTTCGGGCCCCATAACTGGCCCAGGTGACCTTTCCAGCCTCCTCGCCCTCTGCCCTCTGCTGCACCTTGTGCTACAGCCCAGGGAGCCCTGCGCCCTGTCCCTGACGGAGCCCCGGGTTTTCCTTCCCCATGCTTTTGCTCCTTCTGGCTTAGCTGGCGCCGCCTGCATCTCCTTGTGCGTGTCCACGTCAGCAGTCTGCCCAAGCCGGTGTTCAGAGGGAATAACCCCAAGCAGTTCTCACTTTGCTGCAGTTACCGAGGAAGAGGATATTCAGGTGACTCCGTAAAAATAGAACCACTGGTCTGTGCCCCGCTGAAGGCAGTGAGGGAAGCAAAGACCCTCGGAGGGCCGTAGTCAGAGGGCTGTGAGCGACTCCCCGTGCCGCCGGGCCGCAGTTGTCCGGGTGCTGCAGGGCCGCGAGTCCTGCCTGGTGGGGTTTGGCCCTGTCTGCCAGCACGCTGGTGGGGACCTTAGGTGCGTAATTACTTCTTTGGAAATGTTGGACTATGAGCAAGACGTGAAGCTGACCCGTGTGTGAGAGCCAGTGGGTTGTGTGTGTGTAAACGAAAGAACATGTTCCTGCCGGCTGTACCTAGCACCCTTTCCAGTAACAGACACGCTGTTTCCCATCAGTTACTTGCTATAGAAACGATTGCTGCTCTCAGCTGTTGTCAGAAAGCGCGGGCATGGGCCGAGGGCAGGGATCCCTGCCGCTGACATTTACCAAGTGCTCGTGTGTGTGGTACAGTGTACCTGCAGCGAATCGTCGAATTCTCCATCGGCAAAGCAGTGACATTGTCAGTGAACTTTATAAACGAGGAAACCAGCAGAGGAGGAACGTAACTTGCGCAAGGTCCTACAGCCAGTGCACGGCAAGCCTTTCCTCCGAGCTCGTTCACCTAACGGAAGGAGCGGGTGACCCTGAGGCTGGGACAGGGCTAACTCTCTGTGTCAGGTCGTCTTTCGCCTGCAGAGCCCTGACTGGGGCATGCAGGGTAGTGCTTTTCCAGGGAACCCGAGAGAGTTGCTGCTTTCCTTTTAGATTAATCATGCATGTGGTCATTGTTGTGGTTCCCATACCTTCCTAGTTTAGAAGCTAGAATTCATAAATTTAATGTAGTTTTTTTCAGTCTTTATAGCTGTTAATTTTTCATGTAACTGTGTGTCTTTTTTGTTTGTTTTTGAGATAAGATTTTGCTGTATTGTTCAGGCTGGACCTGAACTCACTGTGTAATCCATGCTGGCCTCAAACTGGTGGCGGTTTTCCTGCCTCAGCCTCCTGAATGCTGGGATTATAGGCATGCACTACCACACTTGGCTTAGTTTTCATTTTTTTTTTTTTTAAGCTTTTAAATTTTAGTTTAATTTAGTTTTAATTTTAGTTTGGGTCTCTGATATCAAGTATCTGACCCTGTGATTATATCTGAGTGAGACCAGTGAGGACTTCCCTGAACATTTCACACACTGTAGGGAGATCCTGCTGTAGGACCAAGCATAGGTTATGATTCTCCTTTCACGGACGCACCAAAGCAGTCTAGGCTTTTGTGTCTCTGAGGGGCTCATTTGTCTGCTGGTCCTCTGAACATTTCAGAGCAGTTACTGTGGACCTTGGATTCTCCTAATGTAATTTTATTTGTTTTTAATAGAGGAAATGCATGCCGAGATCTGTTATGCTGAGTGTCTCCTGCAGAAAGCAGCGCTCACCTTTGTGCAGGTAATGAACATCTGGCTTAGAATTGGTGTAACCTGGAATACTGCACAGAACCGTGTGGCTCATTCTGTGTCCATGCTCTAGTTCTTTTGACTTAAGAGTGGTAATGAAAGATACTTGTTACTTCGATAAACTTTCACTGAAAAAGAATCAAGAGAGCTTCCTGGGGTGAGATGGAGTCTCAGTGTTGTTTTAATTTGCATTTCTCAAATGACTAAAGAATGGCTATCATCAAGAAGTCAACCTGTAACAGATGCTGGAGGGGCTGTGGGGAAAAAGGAACTCTTCTCCACTGTTGGTGGGAGTGCAGACTGGTGCACCCACTGTGGAAATCAGTCTGGAGGTTCCTCAGGAAACTAAGATTAGAGGTCCCAGCTATTCAAGCTCCTGGGTATTTTTCTAAAAGAACCGAAAACATCACACCACAGCAATACATGTGCTCCCATTTTATTGCAGTGCAATTTATAATAGCTAAATCTTGGGAACAACCTAAATGTCCATCAGCTGAGGAATGGATAAAAGAGATGTGTTTTTTTATACAATGGAGTATTCCTCAGCTATAAAGGAAAATAAACTTGAGGCTTTTATAGGTAAATGGATGCAACTAGAGACCACACTCATAGGTGAAATAAATCGGACTCACATGTGTAAACATCATATTATCTCCCTAGTGTAAGAACCTGAAAGAGTAAATAAAATCTGAAGGGTACAGTAGATACTGTGAAAGGAAAGAAACTGCTTCAAATAGGAAGGAACAACTGGGATGAAGGAGGGGAGAGGAAAAAGAAGAGAAAAAAATGTGTGTGTGTGTGTGTGTGTGTGTGTATATACATATATATATATATATACAAGATAGCTAAGATAATTGTAGTACTAATTTCTGTTGGCTTATTGAAAGGAACAGTTCATGTGTAACTGATCAATCTTACATGTCTATATCCGGTTATCTGAGCAACCACTTTGAAGATAACATTATGTAATGTAACAACCATTATTAATATCCTATCACATTGTTTTGAAATTCTGTATCATTTTTATTGCTTTCTATGCTGTTTTGTTTATGTATTTGTTTTTGTTATTCTTTTCTCTTTAAAATGAAAAACAAAATTTCTATGTATATACAAGGATAGCGGGGATAGGTGTATTGCTGATGTCTGTGGTTTATTGAAAGGAACAGTTAATGCTTAAAATTTTCTTTTTTCTTGAAAAAGAGAGAGCTTTATTCCTACTCAAATACACAGAATCGGTTTCAAATTTTTCAGTTTATTGGAAATCGTGTACTTTTAAAGAAATTGCCTTGCGAATGCCACAGCTAATTTCAGAAGCTTCTCTGTGGGAAGCCGTGAAATTACTGCAGTCCGCACGCGTGGTGGTGGAGGCTGCGGCCAGCAGAGGCGCAGGCAGAGGCGGCTGCTGACCTGCGGCCGTGCCTTCCCATGCCCTGCGCTGCCGTGCCGCTCCGTCACGCAGCAGAGAGAGGCACACGCCATGCACACTTCGGGTTTTACTTTCTGCCCCCCTGTCTGTCCTCATTCTTTTCTAATTTTTATTTTTTTCTTTAGAAGAAGAGTTTTTAATAGTCATGGAACAAAACAGTAAATTATTTTTATAAGACACTTTACGAGGCACTTCCAGGAGCTGTTACGTTTGTTACCTTGCCTACGCCTGCATCCGCCACTACTTAAAAGCGTAGATTCCCGCACGGTGGCCTCCTGGGGTGGGGCTGGCTGTACCGTGGGGCAGGACTGTGGACTGCCAGGAGGCGGAAGGAAGCACACCTGCAAGATGGAGCGTGTATGAAGTCCGTCTTTTAAATCGTTCTGAGCGTGGCTTCTGTTCTTTTCTAGAGGTTGACCTCTGAGGTTGGAGTCTGGTTTAGTGCAGTTGGGTCACTGCGGTGTTCCCTAAGACGTTGTGTGTTACAAAGCCTGGCTGATGGTAACACTCACAGCGTGGGGGTTTGACCGCCAAATGCTAGACTTAAAAACATTTTACATCTGGTGACTTCAAGTCAAACGTCTAGAGATCGCTGTGAGTGTCCTGTCTTCGTCATGCGCCCTACGCAGTCACGTTCACGTTCATGCTGCTTTGATCTTCTAAAGATTCTGCAGCCCTGTCTCTTCCTGTCTGTTCAGGGAGAGGTGCTTATCAGCTTTTGCCTGGCCTGGTCTGTACAGCGGCCTCCCGGCTCTCTAATTTACTTTTACCTCCATCCCATCCTTCTGCCTGCAACTGAGTACCCTTTCGGAAGCGGGACTGTGACCTTGTCAGCCTTAGTACCCTCACAGACGTGGCAGTGTTCTGTGTCAGCGTATCAAACGGGGAGACATTTGGAACTGAACAGATGCCTCCCGCCAGATTCCCTGCTCCCCCCTCACGCACCCTCGGGCTGCTGACCGGGCACAGGTGAGGCGGCTTTGCTCCCTGCTGGCCCGCCCTCCTCTGCAGTAGGCTCTTCGGCGAGTTGATGTGGGTACACACAGCTGGCAGGGACAGCGCGGCCCCTAGAGCTTCCCAGCCACCCACCTGGGTTTGTCTTGCTGCCGTGCTCACCTCTGCAAGCCTCCCTTGATTTGGCTACGTCCACTAATTTTTGTGCTTTAAACCTGGGCTGTTCCAGGGGGCCTTCCTGAGCCTCTGCGTGCTCCTGTTCTGCGCATCCTCCAACCCTTCGCACACTGCATCGCTTTTGTTTGTTTGTTCGTTGAGATGCCTGTGTAGAGTAGGCCTTCATAAATGTCTGGTGAGTCATGAAATGAAATACCCCTACTGGAGTCAGATTTTAGTCTAACTGAGGAAATTTCATTTTCTTGTTGGTATGTGAGACAGGGCCTCACTGTGTAGTTCAGGCTGGCCTTGAGCTCACTGTGTAGGCCAGGCTGGCCTTGAACTTGCCAGGATTTTGTAGCCTCAGCTTCTCAAGTGCAGAGATTACAGATGTGCAGCACTGTGCCCTGTTGTGAAGAAATTCTTTCCTGGCTGGTATTGGAATTTGTGCAGTTATGAGAGTCCTTAAAATAAGAAGATAAATATTTGAGTAGTGGGTTTAGTATTTGCTGATTCTTCCAGTAATCAGAATATTAGATATTTAGTTAATAAAACTTGTAAACTAAATTCAGTTTTTCTTTTGCTTCAGAAGGATGTTGAAGTGCATAGGAAATAAACACAAAGGAATTTTTCCAATAACAATAGACTAGAGAAACCATCTCCTTGGAAGTGGGTGGAACACTGGACTATCTCTATTAGCACTATTAGGGTGACCTTTAAGTGGTTTCTTAATATAATTTATTAAAAGACTCTATTAGAATGCTGATGGCCATCAGGCAAAGAGAAATAGTGGTTCCTCCACCCCCACCTCACGAAAACAAAATTGCATGTTAGTGACAGCTATTTCAACATTCAGACCAGTTCAGTATTCAAACAGGTGTGTTTGGTCTGGAAATGTATATGAATTAAATTCAGAATATTAAATAGACCGTCTGATTAGTGCCCTGTGAAATAGGCCCTTTTACTCGGTACAGGGAACTCGAAAGTTTACACTTGGATCCTTAAAGTCAACTGTTCTAAATTCTGTTGAACCCAGAAGATTGGCCAGTTAATGATATGTGGGTTTGAGCTTCATTGGACCCTGATTAGTAAGGATGACTTCCTTAGAAATAAAAAGTAATGTAGTGATTTAAAAAGTGTTTTCTTTTTGCTGTCTTGTAACTTTTAAGAAGAACAACAAAAAGACACTTCAAATATAAAGCAAGAAGAATATGTTAATTTCAAAATTATACCATCAATATGCAACTATCAGGACAGTTTAACATTTTTTACTAAGTGCTCTAATTATTATTTTCAGGATGAAAATATGATCAACTTCATCAAAGGTGGACTGAAGATTAGAACAAGTTACCAAATATACAAGTAAGTTAAAAAGTAAAATGTGGCTTTTACGTAATTCTTGTGCTTATACTACTTTGTTTTTTGAAAGTTTTAAAAATTTAATGTAACTAGGTTTTTTTTTTATTTGGTGTTAGTAAAAACGTGCTTGATTTTTGATTATATATTCTGTGCCACAGAACAGAGTTACAGTTTAGATATAGTTTAAGGGTAAAATAGTGGAAGAGAAAATGACTTGACATAATATCTGGTTAGATGATGCGTCTCTCCTAAGAACAGTTTATACCTTTCAAGTGGCTGGTGTGTTTTGAGACAGATTCTACAGTTGCTCTACCCAATAGACCTTTCTGCAGGGGATGGACGTGTTCAGTGAGGTTAGCTTACAGTGTTTTCCTTGTCTTCTTCTTTTCTCTATACGTACTGATTTTTATCCAGTTGTCCTGTCATTTACTGAGAGTGTTAAAATCTCCAATGGTCAAAGTGAAATCATGCATTTTTTGCTTTATTTTGTCAGTGTTTGCCTTGTATGTTTAGGTCCTCTGTGGTTAGTTTCATAAACGTTTATAGTTGTTTTGTTTCCCCAATGAATTAATATTCTTACTGTGGAATTCCTCATTTAACTCTGGTAGTATTCCTTGTCTTGAATCTATTTTTTCTGATATTAATCTAGCCACTCATGGCTTTTTCTTAAATAGTTTTTTTTTTTCTCTTCAATATTAGAGACACAGCTGAGGGATGCTTTACCATGGTATCATACCCCGGTCCCTTTTATTAAAATTTTATTTTGGGATACAGTCTTGCTAAGTTGCCCGGGCTGGCCTTGCACTTGCAATCCTTCTACCTTAGCCTTCTGAGGCGCTAGTATTACAGTCACGTGTCACTGTGCTGGCTTATATTTTTGAATAATGAGTCTTTGCATAGTATATATTCTTTTAAATCTGTCTTTTATATTTAAATTACGTATCTTATAGACGCACAGAGTTGAATAATTTGTATGTTTATACTTAAAACTACCATTTTGCGGGGGAGGGTACCAGAAATCACAGTCAGGACCTTGTGCTTGCCAGGCGGGCGCTGCGCCGCTGAGCTCTGTCCCCAGCCCAGATTGCCATTTTCTTCTTTGTCTTACCTTTCTCCTCATTTCATTTCTCGTGTTTCTTCTGCTTTAATAAAGATTTAAAAATTCTAGTGTAATTCTTTATTGTCTTCCTAATTATATCTAATTGTTTTGCAGTTGTGGCAGTGATCATATGTGATTTTATCTTAGGGTTAATATTGTATCACTGCACATAAAATATAAGAAGTTGGCACAGGAATGATTTCATTTTCTACCTGTTGCGTTTCATACCATTCTCATGCTGGTAATGGTGTACTCATGTATATTAAAAACCCCTAATACTCCGTCAGACTTCTGCTTTAACAGTCATGTGTTCCTATTTGCTTATGTTCTTCCCTATGTGCCTATGTTCAATATTTTTATATTCTTCATTTATACTCATTTACTTCCAGAGTTTAAGATTTCTTATCATGTATGTCTACTTTCAGTAAGTTCCATTTTCATTTATTTGAAATTGTTTTCACTTTTTCCCTTCATTTTCAAGAGTATTTTTTCTTTCTTCCAGCCCTTTGGAATTGCCATTCCGTTGTACTCAGGCCTTAGTTACTTGTAATCAGAAATCAGTGGTCATTTGTGTTATTGTTTTCCTTGTCTAATATGAGTGACATTTCTTCTGGCCTCTTTGAAGACTTCTCTTTTTTAAATCTCAGCAGTTGGACTGTCTTAAGTCTAAGTGTGGTTTTGAGAAATTCATTGTCATTATTTCTTCAAATGTTTACTTTTTTGTTTATTCTTATGTCCAGTATTTTTTTAAATTGTACTTTAGATATTGAGCTATTACAGAGCTTCTATATTCTCTTATCCTTTTTCTGAACAGTACAGATTTTTGTCCTAAGAAGCATTTAATTTTTTTAGACATAGACTGAAAATTCTTAGGGTGGCCAGCACCTGAAATCTCTGTTTCATTGTTTTTGCTGTCTTATTTCTGCTTTTCCTTGAAATTTTCCTAGTGCTCACGTAGTATATGTTCAGCCAAGAATTTGAGTATTTCCAGTCTACGTAGTTCCTCCAGAAATGGAAATTCCCTGTTCCTGTATAACCATTCTGGCAGTCTTGAGTTCTGTAGTCTGATTTTTAAGCCAATAAGACTGTGGCTTTTTGTTTGAACTCTGTGTACTCCACATTGAGTGGATTGGGCTGAGTTAATCTAACACAAGCTGCCCTGCCGTTGTTGGAAGCAGAGACAAAACTTAGTATTTTAAGAGCTACATTTACCTAAAATGATTTTATAAATCTGTGTCCCTCTTAACTCCTGCAAGGGTTAGAGGAGGGGCTTATAGAATTTGGGAAACTGACATACTGTTTGTAGATTTCCTCTCCATATATTGTTTTATTTTTTAATTTAATTGTTTTATTTTTTTGTTTTTTTGAGGTAGGGTTTCATCATGTAGTCTAGGCTGGCCTCAAATTCACTGTGTAGCCCAGGGTGGCCTCTAACCCATGGTGATGCTCCTGCCTCAGCCTTCTGAGCCCTAGGATTACAGGTGTGCGCCACTGTGCCTGGCTTTCAAGTATTGTTTTAGAAGACAGAAAAGAAGGCTAAAGGATTACTTTTTCAGTCAGTGGAGTTTAAAGAGTTAAAATAATAACCAAAGAATTCACATAATGCTGTTATGTCAAAGACATTTCAGTGGAATAGATCACAATGGATCACTGTCTTTAAAACAGACCACGTGGGTGTCCGCACACACACGGTTTTGTGCATATAAATACACACAGACGTTACTTGGAAATTCACAATGTATCTCCCTATAGGTGTGGGTCTCTTTCAAAAAGTGGAAAGAGATAAATATTTAAATAAATATTTTTGATAAAATTGATTTTGTTTTAAGAAAAAAAGGCCATTAGTACAAAAAATTCCCTATAGAATTGATATTAAAATATTTTAAAAGATCATTAGCAGAGAACAAAAGAAAATACTTTATAGTACTAAAATAAAGCCCTTAAGCTTTTATTTTAAATTTTCTACTTTGAGATACTTTGAGTTATTACAAAGAATGTTCATATTACTGGCCCTCCACAGAGCCACAGTGCCGTTGTTGAGCTCAGTAAGGAAACCCCCACTGACATAGTGCTACTGTCCACGGCCCTCCCTTCCCGGACCTCCCGCTCCCGCAGCACCCCTGGTGGGGTCTGGGATCTGCCCTAGAGTACTGGGTGCGGGCACTTAGCTGCCAGGTTTCCTTATGCTGTTAATCTGTTCCTCTGTTTTTCTTTGTCTCTCATGACTCTGGCATTTTAAATGAATGTTGGACTGTTATTTCATAGGACATCTCTCAGCGTGAATTTAACTTGTTTTTTAGTGATTAAATTTAGGGTATGAATCTATGGCAGAAGTACCATAGACGTGATACTAGTGGTTAAATGTGTCAATTTTAAAGGCCTTTTTTAGGTACCACAGAGAGGAAGAAACCATAAGAGATTAACTTGATCAAGTAAACATTCATAATCTTATTATGGTGAAAATGCACCATGTAAACAGTGCAAGTGGGATATGACGTAAACAGCCCAAGGCAAAGGACTGTAAGCTTGTGAGTTGGGCGGAGTCTAAATTGAATCCTTAACCCGTTGTTGTTCCTGTTAACTGAAAGTTAGGTCCGTGGACTGGCTAGGTGCAGTTTAAATGTATTCGGCTAGAAACATCGTAGATGAAGTTTCAAGTTTTATATAGTTGCAGCACACTAGGTGATGCATATGTAATTATTCCTCAATACCTTGTAAAAATATATTTGTCTACCTGATAAGCAGTTCCTAATTAATAGCAATTTTTATATCTTGGTCATTATTTTAATTTGTATTCCTCTGAGTAAGTATTTGCTTTTAGGAGCTGATGTGAATGGAAAATACGGTAAATCCCAACTTAGGAGTGAATCCATGTGGGGAGAATGTTCATAAGTTGGATTCATTTCAGTCCGACAGAGCGAGTCTTACACAGTACAGCTGTGAGTGTTTGCAACTCAAACGTTCCTAAGATGAGGACTCACTGTGTATGAAAGAGAAATTAAAGTGAGAAATTGGAAATATTTGCATGGATAGAGCAGGAAAAAATAAAAAGATTGTAGCTGAGATGGAATTTGGTTTCTTCTTTCGGTCCTGCCTGCTTACAAGTTCTGGTCTGTTTGAGCCCCTGGCAGTCGCACTGCAGTGCAGATCTCTTTGCTGGCAGCACCTCATCTCTCAGTGCGAGGGGGCTTGCGAGGTGTGTGGAGCTCAGAGGAACCGAGCGCTCCCGGCGTCTCTTGTGAAGTGCTGCTGGGAGCCGTGAGAGCGCGGAGCCGCGGCGCGGTGGTGCCTGGCTCACGCTTGTTGAGCCCTCTATTTCTTTAAGCTCAGAAAGATTGGTCCTGCTAAACATTATAAAAATGGCTTTCCTCTTTTCTCCAGAATGATTACTACTTTATAGCTTTAAATGTAAAGACAGCATAGAATAACCCATTTAAAATTCTGTAGTGTTTTGAGTGATGACATTTATAGTAAGTGTGAAATTTAACATTTACTTTCAAAGTCATAGGAAACTTACATTATATCTTTTTCTTCAATTCAGAGAATGTCTTTCTATTCTGCATGTAATTCAGAAGAACAAACACGAACAAGAATTCTTCTATGAGTTTGAAGGGGGTGTCAAGCTTGGGACAGGAGCCTTTAATTTGGTAAGGAAGTAATTGTATAGAAGCCAGAACCTTTTGTAGAAGAACCCAACGTTTTCAGTGCCTTTCTTATTGCATGGAGACCTCATCCTGCATCTCCACCTGGGTTTGTTAAGTGCCAAAAGTGGGTGAGTTTGCGCTGAAGCTCTGGGCAGCTTGTGTGTCAAGCTGGCATGTGCTCAGCGTAGCGTTGGCCTGTGAGTGCATGGGTGAGGTTTTCAGCAACAAGGGACTGAGAATCTAGCTCCATTTCCACATGAGAAATACTGCTGCTCTGACGGTGGAGCCCTGGGATTGAAAATAAGTGTGAGTCTCTAACGGGAGGGATGATTTCTGCATGATCTTTGGGAATGTGAAGTCGGAAAAGACAGCTGTTAAATTCTAAGCGGGGCATGGCAGCGGAGGCCGGAGGCAGGTGAATTGCAAGTTAGGGTCCCATCTGGGCCACTTAGCGAGACCCCGTGTCAGAATTTTAAAGAAGGTTGCGGATATAGCTCATTGTAAAGGTCTAGGCTCAATCCCCAGTACTGGGGAAAAAATTCTTGTATGGAGAGTTAGAGATTTTATTAAGGTTTGTTTGGAGTTCGTGAGAAAATAAAGTGGTGAAGAGAATCATAGCGCAAGCGTGGGCCGTGCAGCGGCTTTGCTCTGAGACTGCTCGGTGATGATGGCTGGGAAGGAGGCTGACCGATGTCCATAGAGCAGGGCATTCCGCACACGCGCTTGTTAGAATCCTAGCATTCCCATGGGACACAAATATCTCCATTTTTTTTTTTTGTCGATTCGGAGAGATTTATCCAAAAACTTCTTCCCCAGGCCTGCTTATCACCAAATTTTCAATTATTTTCCTTCCGACTCCTTGATCATCTAGAAGCACCGTTGTCCACAGCCCGCGAATCCGTACATATTTGCACATCTGGGCGATTTTGCTTCAAAGCAAAGTGTGTAAGCAGGTGCACTGCCACAGGTTCTGCCTACTGGGAGGCTCCGGGGAGGCCCCGGAAAGAAGCAGTAGAGCCACAGCGGTCCACTTCCGGGCGGTGCCTGTGTATTGTCCAGAGTACAACCTCGCTGGGCCTTGCAGGAAAGGCATCTAATGGTACTTGTGTGGTGGAGGGCACGGAGGAGCTACTTTCCTGTCGCTTAGTCAGACACACGAGTTGCTGAGCCAGTGTTCCTTACAGACCCACGGGAAGGGCAGGCGCTTTTCTTCCTTTTTAGAAAAGTTTTTTTAAGGTTCATTGTCACATGAGATTAATCCATGAATACTGATTACAGTATGTGCTGATTGAGATCTGCCTAATGGTTTAAAGTCCATGCTGATTTTTCATATTACTGAAGCATAAAAACCTGTAGTAAATTATTTGCAGTTTAGTATTTGTCTGCAGTTAAATATACTAACACATAGTACACTTGTGTTTCTTTTCTTACAGATGCTGTCCCTTTTACCAGCAAGGATTATCAGATTGCTAGAATTTATTGGATTTTCTGGAAACAGGGTATACATTTAATTTTATCTTACTTTTGACAGGGAAGATAAGACATTATTTACTGGACATGAGGACAGTGTAACATATGTCCTCATAACTGGCATGAAATTGTTGGTACTTTGTTTCCAGGACAATAAAGAACTATTAGATCATTGATCATTTCAGGAGTTAGGCATAGCTTTTTTGTTGAAAATTAAAAATCACCTATCTTACCTAGAGTTAAAAAATTATGTTTTGCTAATATTGCTGCTTACTGGGTCTTTATTACTATTGTGTGCTGAAAATATCCTTCCTTAATATTTTATTAATTTCAGAGTTACCATCTGTAAACATGAAGAAATTAGGCTAGAGTTCTCTAATCATCTGTAATTCTGATAGATCAAATAGCATGGATCAAACATAGTTGCAGTGTTTTGGATTTCCTTTTTTTTTTTTTTTTCTTTTTTTTACACATTTCACTATACAAAAAAAGTAAATTTATTTCCCATGCATTTTTTTGTGAGTATATAAATTAATCACAGTGTTTAGAATTCTTTTGCAAGAGTTGCTGTATCCTAAGAGTTGTCTCTGTTAGACAGAAAGCAGGTTTTCAGTCATGCAGTGGGAACAAGTACCAGAAGTGGGGGCATTTTCCTTGTTTCTTCCACTGCCATGTTTCTCATAGGCTGTTGTGTATGTGTGGTGCTGTCTTAGTGAAATGTTGTGCTTTGACTTCGTATATGTTCATCCTTCCCTGTAACCGTTCATCTTTCACCGTATTCCTTTAGTGAGTCCCAGTTGCCTCTAGAATAAAGTGCAGACTGTAATGCGGCTCCAGGGTCTGCAGGGTCTGATTCTGCCAGTGTTCTCAGCCTTGTTACACATGCTGCCTGCTTTCTTAGAGCTTCTTCTAAATTGGTCTGTTCACTGTTACCTAACATGCCTTGAAACTTAGGGATATTTGAGCCGTTAAGGGAATATCAGGGAAAGCCTTACAAAATAGATGGCTTTATCTCGAATACCCCCAAGTTCAGAATTATTCATTCGTCTTGCTCATGGCACTCACTGTATTCTGATAAAATCACGTGTCCATGTGGTGTCTTACCGATTTGATGGCCGGATCTTGGCAGACATAGAGCCATGTTTGTTCATATCACCTTTGTGCCCTGTGCTTAGATCCCCAATATATTTTAGTGAATTAATATTCTTATGAGAGCTGGGTATGGTGATGCACACTTGTAATCCCAACACTCACGAGGCAGAGGCAGGAGGATCAGAACCAGTCTGAGGCCAGCCTGGGCTACATAATGAGACACTGTCTCAAAAAAAATTATTATAAGAGAAATGATTTAACATTTGTAGGGGATGAACACTACCTTTTTCTCTTCCTAGAATCATAGGAGGTGAAAGAAATTGTGATAGTGTCTTATGTCAGTTTAAAACATAAAGTTTGTTTCTAGTTAGATATCACCATTATCCTAAGCTCTTTTAAGATTTATTTTTTTGAAATAAATCCCACTGGACATGGTGGTACATGCCTGTAATCCCAGCACTGAGGAGGCTAAGGCAGTGGGATTGCTGCAAGTTTGAGGCCAGTCTGGGCTACAAAGTGAGTTCAAGGCCAGGCTGAATTGCATAGTCAAACCTTGTCTCAAAAAAAAAAAAAAAAAAAAGACAAAGAAATAAACCCTTCCTTTGGGAGGATGGGGATACTGTGACTTAGTGTATAAATTTTTTTGGGGGGGACTGGGACTTGAACCCAAGACCTTGCGCTTGCCCAGCAGGCGCCATGCAGCTGAGCTATACTCCTGGCCCCATGTGAATGTTTTTGTTGAATCTGATTTTCCATCATGATTTTTCTCTTTGTAAAATGTGTGTAATCCCTACAGGAGCTGGGCCTCCTGCAGCTACGGGAGGGCGCGTCAGGAAGAAGCATGCGGTCCCCGCTGTGCTGCCTCACGATCCTGGCCTTCCACACCTACATCTCTCTGATCCTCGGTGGGTCTCCACTGCTCCATGCCTTACCGCTGCAAGTCGGTTATCTTTAGTCTGAATAAGTACAAATTAAGACCAGTCAGTGAGAACTGGCAGTCTTTATCTGTTTGCCTACTTTCGGAGTATGTTTTGAAGATAGACATTTGGCAGAGGGAGTGGGCTTGTTGCTTTCCCTGACATTTTTTATCTATTCTCAGCTAAAATTTCTGTACATATTAAGGTGATTGATTTAATCATATCCATATAAAATTTCTTTTTTGTGGAAAATTATACTTTGGCTAAAATAAGTTAATATTGCATACTAAAACCAGAAACCCCAGCTAGGCATCCAAGCTGACCATGTCTGTTCTTAAGAATTCATCTGTTCTAGAGCTGTCTTAAAAGTCTGGTCATGGATGAGACTTGTCTTTGTTTCCCACATGTTAAAGAAAAAAACAAAACAAAACAGAATGGTCGTGTTCATCTTCTCATCAGTATTCTTTGCTATCTGTGAATGGAATTTGCAGAGTTAGGTATAAGCGCCTGCTGTGTTTCCCGCAGACTGAGGCTTTTCCTGTTGAATTTCCAGGTACGGGAGAAGTGAACGTTGTGGAAGCGGAGAGTCTCCTCGCACCCTTCCTCCAGCAGTTTCCAAATGTACGCTCAGTGTTTCAGTGTGTGTTCAGCCACGACCCGTCGGCCGGCAGCGGCTCTTCAACGCTGTGCTTTTTCCTGTCTCCGCAGGGCTCCCTCATGCTGTTTTATCATGCCCGCATCGAGCTGCTGAAGGGGAATATCGAAGAGGTAATCCTTCGTGGGAGTTACTTGAGGGAGCTGTCTGTATGGCGGAGTTGCTTCCCACAGTCATTTAACATAAGTACATTGGGCTGTACGGTCTAAAAAAAAAGGAACGTAATGAGTAAGGCAAAATTTTAACTTGTATATATACAGTGTACCATATGTTGGATTCCTGAATGCAAATTTTCACATAAAGTACACGGGGGTAGAATGTATGCACAGAACAGGTGGCCGATCTATCCCGCTTTCCAAAGACTTCGTTAGTGATTTCTACATCCCCCTTTGACGCTGGAATCCAGATCCTGTGTAAGATCCAGCTCCACTGTTTGAGAGGCACTTGTTCACCAGTCCCTTTGAAGATAAGGAGCATGGAGAGCCTTGTATGTACATCCTCTCACATGTGGTTTTTGTCCACACAAATGGGATCCAATGTATTTTTCTGGTTTTTTGTTTTGCTTAGTTTTTTGTTTCCTGTTTATAATACAATTTAGATCTTTCTCCAGGTCAGTATATCTAAGCCTCTCTGTTATGTTTCATGGCTGGGCTTCATTGCACGGGAAGGGTCTACCGTACTTACTAATGTGGTCTCTGGCTTGGTGCTACGGCATACACCCATAACCCCTGCACTCAGGAGGCAGAGACAGGAGGATCTTGAGTTTGAGGCTAGCCGGGGCTGTGTAGCAAGACCCTGCCTCAATAATAAATAAAGAAATAAGTAAATAAATTAAAATAAAATGGCTACTATTGTTAGCTGTTTGGCCACTACAAACTGTGGTGTCACAGAGACCGGTAGGTGCATACTTGTGCATAGGTGTATTGATGGATACATTCTCATCATTAGGGCGTCTGTGTTAGAAGGTGTTTGCATTTTGATAAATCCAGCCAAATTTTTCTTAATTTTAGTTTCTATTAGCCCAGGTTTATAGTACATAATGATTATGCTCATTGCGCAGAGCTGAGACACGTGCACAGCACATTCTGATTCTTCTCATCCCTCCCCGCATCTCTTGGTTTCCTTGCCTTTTGCAAAAGATTTAGCTCCTCTTTCTTACTGTCTTTTATTTTGTTCTTTACTTACAGTTTGTGTTTTTCATATTAGAGAAATCATGCTATAGTTAAGCTTGTGTGTCTGATTTATTTCACTTAATAATTATGTCTCAGGATGCTTCCATTTTGTTATAAATGATCCAGCTTTATCCTTCTTTATAGCAAAGTGGTACTCCATTTTCTCTATCCATTCACCTGTTGATGGGCATCTGGCCACTTCCAGGATTTACCTCTTAGGCATTGTGCTGCTATAAACATGAGAATGCTTATAGCATTCTGTAGTATGATGTCTTTAATTCTTTCAGGAAGATACCTAGAAGAGGAATAGCTGGGTTGAATGGAATTCCTAGTTTTAATTTTTTGAGGAATCTCCATACTGATTTTCATAATGGTCGCACTAGTTTACATTCCCACCAACAGTGTAGAAAGGTTTCTTCTCCCCTCCCCCCACCCCGCAGTCTAGCCAGCATTTGTTATTTGATTTCTTAATGATAGTCATTCTTTCTGGAGTAAGATGGAATTTTAGTTTTGTTTTAATTTGCATTTTTCTCCAGATTCTTATGTCCTAAACTCCTACAGAGATATGAGAATGTTTGTTTCTAGTGCTCTTTGTCAACTCTGGGAATTTTCTGTCTTCTGTTTTTGCCAATGAAAAAATGATAATCTAATTTTTAAATTTATATTGCCTCATTTACACATTTCTTTATATGTGTATCTGTCATTTGTATATCTTTTTCTTTCTTGGATTTGACTGTTTATCTTTACCAATTTTCCCAATGGATTTTCTTTTAAAAGATTTTCTAAAGTTTTTGTCTGATCGGGGGTGAGTTAACCTTTTGCTAGTTATGTGGGTAGCAATATCTTCTCCTACTCTGTCTAGTGTCTGGAACTTTAAGGTGTATTTTGCCCAGTGGAAATTTTCAATTCACTGTTGTCAGTTTTTTCTTAAAAGACGGGTGGTGTGTACTTTATTTGGAAAGGAATTTCCCGAGTTCGGTGTTAAAAAGTTCCACTGTCCCCTCACAAACTTAAATAAAGACGTAGAACTTAACTGTATCATTTTGTGTAAGGAAGGGAACACGTCATCATGGTGGGTGGATTAATGAGTGATAATTTTGTTCTTTGTGTACAAAGTATTCTCTGTATTTTTCCATTAGGTTGTCATATCCTTGTCTAATACCTGTATGATTGGCTTTGTGCAATTGACTTACAGGCACAGGAGATATTTCGAAAATGCATTTCAGTTCAGGAAGAATGGAAGCAGTTTCACCATCTCTGTTACTGGGAGCTAATGTGGATTAATGTATTTCTACAAAACTGGATGCAGGCTTATTACTATTCAGATCTCCTTTGCAAAGAGAGCAAATGGTCCAAGGTAAAGTGTAGTGCCTTCATTAACGTCTTCTGCTTGCCAGTAAGTATCTAGGATGCTTGTTCAGTAGTATGCCGTTGACACTTCCCTCAGCATAGAAGTAAGTACTTTCCTTAGTAGTCCATTAAGTGCCAACTATTTAATCACAAGCACAGTCTTCAGCATTACATGCTGTAAAAGCCGTCCAAAGAGTGACTAGCGAGGAGATTTTATTCTAAATGTGAACTCCCTTGTGTGTACAGTTATTGCATTTCAATACTGTGGCCTCCATGCTTTTTGTAGACTCTTTGTGACAGTTCACATCCATTGGATCCGTCTGGGAAACGGGCAGAGTGAGGTCATGATCTTTTCTTTCTTCTCGCTTTCCCATCCTTGAGAACAGCGGGAAAATGGCCGAGATGAGCTAGAAACTGTCCCCCGCGTTGGGAATAGTGGAGGGTTTTTTTCTTTTGCTTTCTGTGATGCTGCCTGGCCCGAAGCCTGCGGGTTTGTAGATCATTTCCGATTTGCACTCGGTTTGGTTTCTCCTCAAGGCGACGTACGTGTTCCTGAAAGCTGCAGTTCTGAGTATGCTTCCCGAGGAGGACGCGGCGGCCGCTAACGAGAGCGTGGTGACTCTGTTCAGGTGAGCGGGACGCTGTCCTTGTGACGAAGACTTTGGGAACCTAAAGATGCGGGGGCGCGTCGGTCTTCCTTCCGTCGTGCTCCTTCCCGCTTCGCTTTCCTAGTCCTTTGCTTTCTCTAGCCGAGGGTGAGTGCCACCCTGCAGCAGGGTTTCGGAGACAGGCTGTGTGACTGGGAGTCCTGAGAACACGCTGTTCTCCTTCGTGTGGGAGCTAGAGTTTTATTATCGGGGTCTCGCTGTGGCAGTTAAGCTGAATTCTCCCCTCATGGTTAGTCCTACTCTTTCTTTCAGCGATGTGGTTAGATTTCTCGCACCCTGTCTCAGCAGCCTGCTTGATGCGTTCATAGTGTGCAGTTACGTAAGAAAATGTCTGCAGCAGCATGTAGCCCTCTCGTCCTAGCTTCCTTTCAGTGTGCTTTGCGTTTCTCTTTTCCTGTCAGCGATGGTGGGAGTTCAGCCCAGGGCCTCAGACATACTGGGCAAGTGCTCTACCCCTGACTGACCTGCCCACCAGCCCGCGCTTACGAACTTCATAGTAGAATTCCTTGCAGTTTGAGAAGTTTGTAAATGCAGTAGACATCCTAAACGGATTATTTCCGAGATCACCTAGGCTCGAGAAGCGTTTTCTCAAATTATGCATTAATTGATGGCTACCTTTCGAGTTACAGTATTCTGTAGCTCTGTGTCATATGCGAACCTGAAACGTGGCAGGATACTCCTCTGAGTTTCCGCACTGTAAGTAAATACCGCTTGGTCAAGGGAGCTGCCAGTTTTACGCCTAGGTTACCTGGAATGTGCTTGATAGACATAGACATTAATTCCACGGATTAGAACGAAACATGTCAGTGGTAGTCACATGAGTGTGCACCAGAATTACTTGCAGGTCATATCGGAAGCCAGAGTCCGCCTCCACCCAGGAGTTGGCAATTTAGAAGGTCTGGACTAGGACCTGAGAATTTGCATTTCAAACAGGTGTTGCTGCGTTTTATGTGATGCAGTGTAAAACCCACAAGTGTAAGTAATATGTTTGCTGATTGTAGTAGCACTCCATGTAATCCCAGTACTCTGGGAGGCTGAAGCAGGAGGGTTGCAAGTTCAGGCCCAGCCTGGGCGATTTAGTAAGATCCTTTCTCAAAGTGGAAAAATGAAAAAGGGGTGGGTATATAGCTCAGGGGAAAGGCCCTGGGTTCAGTCCCCAGTACCACAAGTGAATGAACGTGTTTACTGACCTTCTGTTGGGGCCGGGGATCTTCACAGACAGGTGGACGGCTTGAAGCAGAGAATTGCCGGTAAATCTCTCCCTACTGAGAAGTTTGCCGTGAGGAAGGCGCGGCGCTACTCCCCCTCCTTGCCTGCCCCCGTGAAGCTCGTCGTGCCAGCCCTGGTATGTGTTTGATTTACTGTTTGCACACTAGAAATAGAGCCCCAGTTTAGAGCAGCAGACAGCATATCATTGAGTGGCCAGTTAACTCAGAAACCATTCTAGGTTTCCAAGGTAAACATTTACAAATGAATTAACAGATAATTAAAATTATAGCTAATGCCGCTGTCTAGTAACAGGTATTATGATAAAAGCTATTTAAACCAGTGTATCACTTAGTTCTTATAACAACTCTGAGTGTAGTCTTGTTAGCCTTATTTACAGATAAGGACGTTGAGGCAGAAGGAGGTGAATTTCACATCACTGAATTTGAATTGAATTATAATGCAAGCCAGACATAGAATTTTACCTTTTCTAATAGCCATATTTAAAAAATAAAAGGAAACCCCAAATTAATTTTAAGATTATATTTTGTTAAACCCAGTATATGCAAAATTTAGCCACTTCAACATGTAACTGATAAAAACTTACTCAGGAGGCATTTCCCACCCTTTTACTTTGTACTGTCTCTTGGAAGCCTAGTGTGTCTTTCACACTCACAGGATGTTCAGTGTCTGTGCTGCTCAAGACCCAGAGTGGCCGGCGGCTGCTCTGGTCCCCTGGGGGCCCTCACCTCCTCATTTTAGGTCAGGTGTCTGTGAAAAACGATTTCAACAAAAAATTTCTTAATGTCTTCCTTTAAAAACACTAGGGTAAGGGCCGGGGATATAGTTCAGCTGCACAAGCGCCTGCCTGGCAAGCACAAGGTCCTGAGTTTGATTCCTGGTACCAAAAAAAGAGAGAAAAAAACCCCACTAAACATATCAAATTACCAGGAGTCTTTTGGAGCTTTAGTTTTTGTGAAGGTAGTTGGTAGAGAAAAGCTAGTCAGTTAAAGCCAATGTCTGCTATCCTTTTAATTCTTTTTTAAAAAATAAATCCCACAGTTTGCTTAATCATTCTGTGTTGATGGTTGTGTGAAGTTTTTCCATTTTTTACTGTTACAAACACACTAGAATGAATATACTTCTTTTTTTTTTTTCACATTTATATATACTTTTTAGGGGAAGATTTTTAGAAATAGAATTCCTGGGATTTAGATAAAATGATGAGGCGAGGACCCCCAGGGGACCAGAGCAGCTGCCGGCCACTCTGGGTCTAGAGCAGCAGATACACTGAACATCCTGTAAGTGTGAAAGACACACTAGGCTTCCAAGGGACAGTACAATGTAATAGGGTGGGAAATGCCTCATGAGTAAGTTTTTATCAGTTACATGTTGAACTGGCAAAATTTTGCATATACTTAGATCTAGATATTGCCAGATTTCTCTCCAGGAAAGATCTACCCTTTTCAATTAGTACCTACAATGTTTTAGTCTTTCAATTGTCGTTTCCCTTGTAGGTACTGTTGAGCATGTTTTCATGTGTTCATTCATTTTTATTTTTTCATTTGTAACTTGTTGTCCACATCCTTCCTTAGTTTCTCTTGTTTCTTATTTTGTTACTGACTTAGAGAGGTCTTTATGCATTCTGTGAGGATGGAAAACACAGGCCTGACAGGCATCAGATGGGACCGGCCTGCCCCTGGCTCGTGGGCCCAGGTGTTCCCTCCGTCACATCACCAGTTCAGAGCACACTCCGTTAGACAAGGTTGTTCTGTGACTGATGGAGTAAGGCGAGAGTGCCTCCTCTGCAATCCTGTCTGAGCACAGATGAGAGAACGCTGTGTAGACGACAGAGATGACCCACTGGTATGGTGGCACACTGCTGCCGCCTTACTGGGTGGCTTCAGTTCCGTTCTTCGTTCATTTTTGTCAGGCTAAATTGCACTGAGAAAGTTTCTCCATCTCACAGAACTTTCCAGAAAATTTTTCTAAACCATTCAGTTCGTTGATGCACTAGTCCTTGATACCAGTGTGCACATAGCTTTTTCCTGCTTTGGTCATTAACATTCTGAAGAGAAGTCTAATCCAGCTGTACTTCTTCTCCAAGTCTGTTGCTGGGGAAGAAACAAGAAAATGCGTGGACTTGGTGGTACATGGAAATTTTGCCCCAAGCCTGTGTTTCGTAGGATTTTAGACGTGCACTTGTTCTTCCCAGTAAAATAGTCCATCAGTAAAAACTGACAAAAATCATCACCATCAATTTCAAAAAATTCCAAAGTGGATATTCAAAAAAACCAAATGTTGGTGAATTGAGCTCTTATAAGAAATTTCCCCTTGTAAAATGAAGAGTAAGAAATTGTCCCATGTTGTGATCTGAGTTTTCAGTGCCATACACTAAAGTTATTGCCACTCTGCCTGAGTGTGTCTCCCTCACATCCACTGCTTCCCTGGTAAGAGGCTTTTCAAGTAATAACTATCAGTTTAAAATTCATTTACTTCCAAGAAGGTACTAATTACCCGCCTTATTGCATGTGCTTCAAAATATAAACTGCACTGTCAGGAGCATGAGAAAAATATTTTCAGGCAAAAGTACATTTGCTTTTGGTCCAAAAAAAATTCTCATCTGTTAGTCCATTAAATATAATCTGCAATGAGAGATCATTACTTAACATTTTCAGAAGCTGTCATTCAGCCATATGGCCTTTAAATGAATGTGTTCTCTGCATATTGGTTTGCATTACCAGACCAACACATGTTTTTAATGGTATAAAAGAACCTGGGCCCAGTAAAATATTCCAGTGTTCATTTCCAATGATATACTTGGAAACATTTAATATAAACAACTGGCAGACATTTAAAAATATTTTCATTTACTTAAAGGTAACAACAAAAATTTATATTAAATGGATTTTTCAGTGTCAGCTTAAAATACATTTCCTTTGTGTGTGTGTGCATGCATGTGCACACATGCACACGGGGGCTTGAACCTCAGGGCCTCGAACATGCTGGGCACATGCTATACCATTGACCGACATCCCCAGAACTGTACTTTCTTTAAAAAAAATCTGTATTCTACTTCAAAAAGACTATAGTACTAGCAGGTACTTAAATATTAAAAATAAATTAATTAATTTTCAGTAAAAGCATAAAATGTACAAAAGATAAAGGCATATAATAAATCAAAAGAAGGGGAAGTTTTATCACTAAACTCCGAAGGAAGCTAAGAAACATGATCTCTAAATATCATCTTGAAATCCCTAGCAGCTGAGGCCAAAACAGTCCTGCATAGTTTTTGTGGTCATAAAGGAGGTTGGGAAAACTCACATAATTTTGAATAGTTTTTCACTCTTCCTCATTAGGAAATGATGTACGTCTGGAACGGTTTTTCAGTAGTGGGGAAAAGAAAAGACCTTTGTGAGAGCCTCTTGGTAACCATTGAAAAGGCCGAGGCAGCTTTGCAAACTGAAAGTAAGTATGAAAGGTAAACAGTGATCTCTCTCTGCACCGTTTCTGTTCTTTCTTCTCCGCGTGCATGTCCGTGTCACTTCCGTGCACGAGGACAGAAGATTAAGCTGCAGCTGTCTGAGTGGTCGCCGTCCGTGAAGGACGAACGACACGTACTGCGTAGTACGGATGAGTATTGGAAACGGGGGCGAAGTCACAGGGCCCCGTTGCAAAAAGCGTGCATCGTGTGATCCTGTTGACATATCCAGCCCGGGCCAGTGCTTAGAGACGGAAAGTAGATTAGGAAGGAGCCGGTCAGGGATGGAGGCGTTGGGACGGAGGTGGGGTAGCTGAAGGGTATAGTATGTGGGGGAGGGATGAAAATGTTCTAAAATTAATTGCAGTGGTGGTTGCGCTACCCTGTAAATATACTAAACACTATTGGATTATATCGTTTAAGTGAATGAATTGTATGGTATGTGAATTGCATCTGAAAAATTAGGAGAAAGATGAAGGGAGGATGTCAGGCATGAAAAGAGAGAGCAGCGCGGGAACACATGTGTTGCTCGTCGGCTTTCGCTTGCTGTGACTCTCTCCTGTCCGATGGTCTCCAGGCTCGCGTTCCTGTAGAGGGAGGGAGTTGTTTGTGTCCAAGTTTGGACTGTACCATATAATTCTGTGCTCATTACCTTCGTGGTGGTGGAGTCCCACCCCAGATCCCTGGAGGCCGCTGACACAGAAGAAGGAAAAGCAGGCTGTCTGGGTTTGTGGTCCCAGCCCTGCCAGCAACAGGCTCTGGCGAGCTTTTTGAAATGGGGGCAGACTTGGACTAACGATACCTAAAGTTATTTTCTTTCTCTGATATTTCTGATTCAAAAAGGCTTTATGTTTGGATGCACTGCCAACAGTGGTAGCCTTTGCTGTGTTTCTCATCAATGCCAAATAGTTTAAATATTCTCCCAAGATCACAGTCTTATCTTTTGAGATGTTCTAACCATAAGGAGTAAAATGAAAGCGTCTGCGGTGATGAACCCAGTAAAGGGCACAGAAATTTAGGAATGGTGGGTGAAAACCGTTAATAGTTAACTCGTTTTTCTTAACTGAAGAAAGAGGGACCTGTGAGGAGCCCGGGACCCAAAAGCAGCATGGCCCCCCCAGAGGGGATTCAGTTATTGAATATGGCCCAGGGGTCAGAGCTTCTTTTAATCTCTTTCGTACTGATGTCTTTCTTATCAAGCTGAAATGCTTAATGAGGCTTCTCTTTACACTTATTTTTGTAAACACATAATTATAATTTTTAGGTATAGGAAAAAACTCACCCCTATTTTTCTACTGTAGCACAATTTAGGATTTTTGTGTCTTCCATCCTGGCTTTATTTTTAGAGTTACAAACATAGGGTGTCTGGACGTATACTAATCTGTCTTTTTTTCGTTTAAGACATCATGAATGTTTTTAGCTTTGGTAAATGGCCTTTGTACATTTCAAAAGCTTAATAGCATTCCATGGAGGTAATGTATCATAATTTAATCCATTCTTGAGTTTTGTTGGGTATTTAGACTGCTTTTCCCATCTGAAATAATGCTAGCATTAGATTTCATCAAGAGGAACAGAAATATAAAAAAATGAAAGTTGAATCGATAGCCTTATCTGCTAACAGGGTCAAGGTTTCAGACCAGCTTGCAAAGGAATCAATTAGAACAAAGTGGACAGTGTGGTTTTGAGACCACAGACTCTTCCCTGTCCTCTTATGAGCAATTTTAAAAAGACTGATCTGAAAAAAACTGATCTGTGGTCATAGGAAGACTAAGGAGTGAAATAGTTTACCCCACTGTAGAAAAAGCATTGCACGAAAAGTTCCTCTGTTGATAAGGGGTGAATAATACCACCTTACACTAAAAATAGCACTTAAAACCAAAGCGGGCCTGTTATGACCTTTTAGTACTTAATCTCCTATCCTTCAGATGAGGGGAAACAAACTCACACTCGGCAGATGGAGGGACATTGTGAGTGGATCTAAAGGTGGTAGGAGATAAGATTTTCTGCTCTGGCAGTGCTCTCGCCATAAAGGCTGGTCGCTGAGACAAAGGGCAGAACTCTGAAGATAGAAAAGTACTTGGTAACATGCCCAGAGTCAGGACTTGGTATTAATTCCAGGGATGGTTCCCTTAAATCTAACGAAATTTACTAAGTGTCAAGATGCTGGTACAGCAGATCTGTGCCTGTTTGTTGAAGTTCATTTGCTAGGTGAAATTACATAGCACATACAGCTAATTACATGAAAGGAGAAGTATTAATGCTCGGATGACTTTTTCACTTTCTAAATCTATTTTCACGTTTTTCTTCATTCATTTCAGTTAATTTCTAAACATCTCATGATAGGTTTTTTGTTTGACCTGTCAACTTCCTTTTTCCTCAGCCTACCCATCAGCTTACTAAATTTGGCAGGTCTTTTCTAATACAGGTCTACTTGGGCAACATTATCACGTTATTTTCTTCTAATAAAAGCTGGAGACTGGAAACCCTCATCTATGAATTCTTTCATGAGATTAAGAATCATTATAAAGCATTCCTATTTTTAGGGAAAATGATCATCTCACAGCTTGTGGTCTGAGGAAATAATGGTTTTTCGAGGAGTGTGGAATTTTTTTTTTTTTTTTAACTCATTGGCATATTCCTAACTCAAGTTTTACATGAAAGTTTCATGGAGCTTTATTGGTATTTTGCCTTTCCATGGTGCTATGTCTGTTCCTCATCAAAAATCATTTGGTGAGCAACAGAATGTTGTCATAACACAAACTGTCAATAAAATGCTATACAGAACTCAATAGAATGCACAAAAATGACACTAAAAACTGGTGTCCAGGATGGGCTCGCAGGCTTTAGATCTATTTTCTGAAAGACATTCCTTCCTGGATATGTATTTCAACAAACATCCATGGTTATAGACATAGATCCATTTGGGGAGGTTAGAAGTGTCCTTAGTAAGCAATAGGAACAGGATGTGTTGTTGGTTCTTGGTAGGGAAGCTTCTCAGCTGTTTTCCCCATACAGAAGTAAACTGACGAGTTAGCTATGTAACCTTGTTCAAGTTCCAGAGATAAGCAGTTTACCAACTAAAACAGCAGTGTGTGTCACTCACTGGTGATCCTTGGGCGTTGTACTGAAGCAGGGGAGTTTCAATTTGCGGGGCTCCCGAGGGTCTCAGTTCCTACCCTTTACTGCCCCTCCCCCTGTTGTCTTGGCCTGCATTGTGTAAATTAGCATCTGTCCTGGAATGACTTCTTAGTTGCATGTGACTCGAAAAAAGAGAGAGAAAAAACCTTCAAAAGTAGTAGATGTAGGGTGATCACCTTTGTCAGAGGTCACACGTAGTATTTGACTTGAACTGTAGAAGGCAGAGCCATTTTTAAAAGGGAAAAATGCTAAAAGAACGTCTTTTACTTTAAAACCCACACGCAGGTAGAAGTTTGTGGGGGTTTTACGTGCCTTTCACGTGTTTCAGAACTGTTCTGTTGACTTTTATGAGATAATTTCCCCCCAAAAGAACATAACCTGGGAGAATTGATAAGCTGTAAACATAATGATCTGGAGAGGGTGTTCTACTTCCTGAATTGTTAATGGGAATAAGGCCATCTGCTTCTCCATATGGAAGTGTTATTCTCTCCTGCATCGAAGCCAGCGCAGTCAGAAGCCAGAACAACGTGAGGAGGCAGGCTTCTTGTTTCTCCTGGCTTTACCTTTTATAGAATGAATAAAGCTCTTTATTTGGAGCTCAGAATCCCTGTTGTTATTGCTCAGGTTAAAAAACTCAGAATGTGATCACTTGAAAAAAAGTTTAAGTGGATTCCTTGATACAATGGCGTACTAATATAGTAAATTCAGCATTCCTTTTATTTAGGCATAACAGATGCTAAAAATATTTTCCCTACTTTAAATGAGCCCCCTGACATGAGTAGGTGTTAATTTTCTTCTTAATTAGGATTTTTAAAGTGTCTTTGGGCTGGGGGTGTAGCTAACTCAGTGGTAGAGCATTTACCTAGCATGTGTGAGGACCTGGACTCAATCTTCAGTACTGGCGGGGAAAAAAAAGGAAAGAGAAAAACCTTTTTTTCCATTTTGTGTTCTTGTTTGTTTTAAGGCTTCAGTGATTATTCTACGGATGACGAGTGCATAGTGAAGCTGCTTAAAGGGTGCTGCCTCAAGAACTTACAGCGGCCCTTGCAAGCTGAGCTGTGTTTCAATCATGTTGTGGAAAGGTAAGAGCAGACAATCACAGTCAGGCTAAATGCAATCGCAAGGAACTGTCACAAGAAAGTGACAAACATAATGAATATGCTGGAGTGACAAAACAAATGCTTTTCGCTATTGCACCTTTACTTGGTGTTACCGCGGAGAGAATCCAGCAGTGCGATCTTTATTCTTCATGAACAGAAGAATAGTCTGAATGAGGCATGGTGTTTGCATTTCTGTAGTACTTGGTGTTTGAAGATGACCCACAAAAACTAAATTTATGGCCTGGCTCACAGGTGTCTATCCAAAGTGGCAGTGATATATTGAACCACTGGTATTCTTTGGATTTATTCATTTAGGGTTTTTTTAATCCATTCAGCTATTCAACAGATATTTGAGTACCCACTGTGTGCCAGAGACTGTGCTTCAGACTTGAGGAAACGTGACACGTACCTGATTCTTTCTTAGCAAGAGGCATTCTTCTGCATGTAACTTCCTTTTCTCCCAATAGCAGCGATGATGTCATACTCCTTTACTAAGTGTAGGGTCGAATCAAGCAAGGGTCAAATGCCTGGCCCTCTTCTCTTTGTCACAAATGCAGACATCTTAAGGCCAAGAAGTGGTCTTATGGGGAAAGGGAGGCTGGCTGCTGGTGGGAGGAGGGTGGAGGGTGCTGTAGGGAGATCTGTGCTCGCTGCACGCCTCAGGCCTAACCCACAGCTCCTCAGGGTAGTGTGGGCCCAGTGACTGTCGTCCATACTTTCCTGAGTAAGCTTCTTCTCATGAGAAGCTGGAAAGCTAGATTTTATGTAAAATCTTCTGATTTTTAAATCTTGGTGCAGATTTTTTGAAAACCCTGTGCAAGCTGAAAAGACCACTGCCGTCGGCATCCTGCTTTCTGTATCACGCTCCATCCCTGGCCCCTGAGCCCTCCTCTGACAGCATGTGTGGGATCACAGGGCTGATGCTTGTACATGAAGAAGGAGGCAGCGTCTTCTTCCCAAATAAGTGATACGCTGTGTTCAGTAGACTTGTTCAGAAGTACGCATGCAGTTCTCCTTTCATTGGTATCTGTGGAAGGATCAAAAGAGTGGTCATAGTTGTGACCCATTTGTATTGTTCCTCATGTTGATTAAATCAGTGACTTACTTGTTCATGTGTTCTGTAATTTTAGATTGTGAACTCAGTGAGGTTTTAGCTTCAGATTCCTAGGAGGCATACTGAGGAAGAGTCTCCAAAAAGTAACTTTTATTTCTACCAAGTGTCTTAAAGGCTTTTGTATCCCAGGACCGCTTTCATATGAATTTCATTGCTTATTGGCTTTTGGATCATTTGGGCATTGTAAATTTGAATTGCAAATTCATGTGACTTCAGACTTATTGGCTATTGATTTCCCAAGGAATGTGTTTTGTTTATTTGTTTGTGTGTTTGTTTTTTCCCCTCACTAAAAGTACAGGCCAAAGAGACCACTGCCCTGTCTTCTGGAGTAGCGCCTGTGGGTCTTCTGAGGTCCCAGCTTTAGATAGAGGGCTGAGTCCCAACTACCTGCCCACGGCCTCATCTCTTGCATGGACGTTAGGACACAAAGCTCTGCGTGATTCAAATGGAAGCAGTCCCAGGAGTTACTCAGCCTTATCCCACGGACCTAGAGTCCTGGTTTATTGTAGTTAGAGCTCTGTTTTTGGCACCTGAGGGCTTCTCTTACGTTCCCTGAGCTAAGCAGTGCATGTGAAAGGGGGTTACTCATATTTTTCCAGAGTCTCTAGATGTTTCGTAGCTGAACATTTCAGATGATGCTGAAAACAGAGCCATTGTAAGGTGTTAAAATCCAAAGGGAATTGAACTTTAGAAAAACGCAACCGTTTTGCTTTTAAATGGGCTGAACATACCTGTTATGTTCAGAAACACAATCTCATCGTTTTGAAGGTAGTTATTGAAAGGTTGCATGTATTTAAGAAACAATCATCTGTGCTGGATTTAGATTAAAGAATAATGATTATTATATTAAAAGCATACTGTTGCTGAGCATGGTGATGTATGCCTGTAATCCCAGCACTTGGGAGGCTGAGGCAGGAGGATTGCTGTGAGTTCAAGGCCAGCCTGGGCTCTATAGTGAGTTCAAGGCTGGTTTGAACTACATAATGAGACCTTGTCTCAAACCAAACCAAACCAAACCAAACCAAACCAAACCAAACCAAACCAAACAAAACAAAAAGCGCACTGTTGATTGCCATAGTTTATTAAGTTTTATAACTCTGTAACCGCGGCTTTTCTCTGATTATAGGCTTGAGGCTGTGCTTCTTTTCTCAGGAATGAGAAATAAGTTTTGGAAAAACAGTATGGGTTTTTGTTCTGTTAAGATTTAATTGATTTCCATTTGTTTTTTCAGTGAAAAGCTGCTGAAGTATGACCACTACCTCGTGCCATTCACTCTGTTTGAGCTGGCGTTTTTGTATAAAAGCCAAGGAGAAATTGACAAAGCCATAAAGGTCCTAGAAACTGCAAGGTAAGTGATGAAGGCAGCCTTCCCTTGATTGATACTGAGTCAAGAATATCAGTATCACTACAAACAGAGTGACAGTAGGCACTTAAAAATTAACCAGTCCATGCAAAAGTAATGATTTTATTACTTTTTCTAATTTAAGTGTGATTTATGCTCATGGGTTTTGCTGTGATTGTGTTGTTTTCAACCTCGTAATGCCTCACCCTGTGACTATTTATGGATGTTATTGTAGGGATCAGTGATTTCTAACTTAATCTCTCTTGTATCAGGAACTGACAAACTTGTACCATAAATGGCCAAACAGTAGTTTTGGCTTTGCAGTGTAAGGTCTCCATTGCAACTACTCAGTTGTAAAAAGTAGCCATGGAAAATAATATGTAAGTGAATGGGTGCATTTAGATTTGGCCATTGGTTTGTAATTTACTGATATAGTTGTATCAGTCATGCCTCACACTTCCTGGAAGAGCCATCGGTCACATGAAGCTCTTTGATCTTTCCACGACTCTCTTCTTTCTGTTGACCGTGGGAGATCTGAAGTAGTTTTGTCATTTCTGGCAGACAGTGGCTCTTAGACTTGTGGTCGTGGCCTACTTGGGTGAGGTAAAAACTCCATGTTCTGTTTGCCTTGAGCACTTCATGCAGTGGAGAAAGAACACCATAATAATTCTAAGTTATAAATAGCTTAGTTGTTCATGTCTTCAAATTCAGCAAATATTCACTGAATGTCTATTATATTAGATTCTAAAGGCTGTTAGGCAGCTGTAAAGTGAGTAGTCAACATTTCTGCTCTCTTAGCTGGAAGAAGATAATAATTAAAGAATCAAGTAGAAAAATAGTGCTGCTATGTGTTCTGTTGAAATTTATACCCTTCACAGAAGGAAACCCACATGCTACTTTAGGTTGTATTGGTTCTGGAAAGTTTCCTTGAGAAGATGATACTGTAGTTGACAATTGCGTAATTAAAAGTAGCTTTGAGACAGTCATCAGAAGTCACCATAAAACTGGGTAGAGAGCATTCCTAGCAGAAACCACAGCTAGGAAACCTCTGGATTGTGGGTTTGAAGCATTAGGTTGACAGTGATATTTTCACTGAGATGGGAAGTATTTAGAAGAACAGGTTTGGGAGAGAAAGAAGTACTCTTCTCTTTGCACAATGATACTTTGAGGCGGCTCTTAGGTACCCAGGTCAAGAGGTGAGTGGACAGATACACAGTCATGGGATGTAGTAGTAGGATGAAAACAGTGTAGAAATTCCAAAGTTACTAGCACAAAGATAGTGATATTTAAAGCCATCACACTTGATGAGCAAGAGGTGAAGGTCTAGCACAGTGCCTGGGATACGCCGTCATTGTAGAAGGTAATCAATAAATGAAGAAGATTAAATTTTACTAATAAGATTAGAGTTAGAAAGACATCTGGGGAAACCAAGTGTTTGGAAAAAAAAGATCAGTTACGATGGCAGCTACCGGGAGGGTAAGCAACAGAAGACCTGTAGAAGGGGCTGCTGTAGTTAGCAGTGGGAAAATTGTGGTGACTTGGACAAAGTGAGGTGAGAAGAGACACGTCGGCTGCTGTGGGGAAGGCTTTTAGCATGTGTGCTGTAGAAAGCAAGTAATGAATACAGCAGACGCTTCAGGGACGTGGTACAGCCAGGAAGGACTTACTACAATTATGTATCTTTTTTTTTGTACTGGGAATCGAACTCAGGACCTTGCACTTGCCAGGCAGGTGCTTGTGCCACTGATCTATATCCCTGGCCCTTAAAATTATATATATATATATAAAATATTTATATTATTATATACAATATTAATATATATTATATTTATATATGTATAAATGGTATGACAGCAGGTCACTTAGAGTTAATCAGAGGAAATTTGTTGAGAGTGAGGATGACTAAGATTTTAACTGGTGCATCAATATATCTTCAAATGTAGACATTAGGGGGCTGGGGATTTAGCTCAGCGGCACAGCGCCTGCCTGGTACCGGAAAAAAAAAAAAAGAAAAAAAAAACAAATGTAGACATTGGAAAATCACCCTAAACGCTGTTGTCCCAAATGTTCACTCTTTGGACACATTCATTGCTGTAAGTGCACAATAAGGTAACTTTATAATGAAAAAAAAAAGACTATTCCTATTAAAAAGCAACCAAAAGCCACTGCTGACTCAACAAAGTACTGATGATACAAAAATATGCTCCCTAGTAATTTGAAGAATGTTTCCTGCAGTTTCTCTTACATAGTAGGAGCTTTGCAAAGTTGCCAAAATTGGTGGCTAAGAAAATAGTTGTTTACACCTTTCAGGAAACTTTGTAAGATCTTAACTTAGTTTATGAATAATACATGTGCTGTCATCAAAGTTACTAGTAAATAGCCCTTACATCTGTGTAAAATGAAACACTGTAAAAATAAATGCTGTGGCAAAGAAGAGGTGAACTGCATGTCCTGGCCAAGGCAGAGTATGAAAGCAGGAGATCAAAGTCGAAGCTGTTCCATTTTGTTGAATCTTGTAGAAAAGGGCGGTCAACATGAATGACATAAAATCAAGTTTTAGGCTGATTTTTGGGTTTCTATAGCCCGCTTCTGTTATATAATTGTTGGCCAAACCATTGATATTTACATGTGAGAATTTTGAAGTCACTAAATAACCCTTCTGTCTTTATTGTGGTTTCATGAGGCTTTCAAAGTATTACTTCCTTTTCTGAGTGATGGATCATGGTCACCGTTAGTATGAGCCTACCTTAAACTGTTTGAGATATTTCACCAAGCTTGTTAGGGTTACCTTATAACCTTGCTGTGTTTGTGAATGATCTGGTAACTAAACAGAATGTTTCTACTTAAAGTACGTCCTTTAAGTCACCACCAGGAAGCTTTTGGAAATACAGGAGTGGTGTCTCCTCTCCCCACTTGGAAGCAGAATTTGTATATTACTAAGATGCCCTGTTAGTCATGCTAAAGTTGGAAAGTGATTGAGGGGACTGAAAGAGGAAGGGGAGGGTGGTGATGGCCTGGTATACAAAGAAATTTTGACTGTACAATTTTACTGTTATTCTCTTCAGAAACAACTACAAAGATTACTCCTTGGAGTCCAGACTACACTTCAGGATCCAGGCGGCCCTTCACCTCTGGAAAAAACCCTCCTCAGATTGATCAAAATTGAAGGATGGAATTGCCCTCATGTAGCACTGGCCTGCACTATAAATTAGTCCTTGTATTAAAATGGAAAAGTGATCTTACGAATAAGAGACACAACACCAGTTTTAATTGTCAATATTTTCTATCATCTGATTTATTGTTAGTCTGTATAAATTTTTTTTCTTATGGAATGACATTCAGTAATATCTAGAAAATTCTTATATTTGCCTCTCCAAAATGAATTTCTTGTTAATTTTTAATTAGGGAGGGAAGAAGTCTTTTAAAAGACCCACAGGTACAATGGAGTCTAATTAGATTATTTATTTTTTTATGTGGAAATTAATATTGTTTAAGTAGCAAATGGTTTAGGTTGAGCCATTTTTAGATTTGTTGGTCAGTTAAACTTCAGAGGTATTTTGTTGCCTCTGCTTAAATCTCAGAAGGAAAAGAATGCCACGTTCAGCGTATAACAGCAAACTCCTGGACACTGAGAGACAGCACAAGGTGTGAGCCGGGTCGGGGTACTGTGTTTCACAGGTTAAAGTGACCTGTGTTTGTCAAAGATGATGAAATACTAAATGACTGAGTTTTTACTGTTCATGTTAGTTAAAAGTGATGATACTTTTGACTGTTATTTTTGAATGTATTTAAATCTATTATAATAGCAAAATTTAAAAAACCCTGTATATTTAAAGGGAAGAAAAGTCATAATTTAGAGATTATCCTCAACTGTAGTGATAAACCTGAAAATATATACAGTGATTATTTTTCTTATAGGAAGCAAAATAAGTTTCTGCTGCTTTAAATGATTTGTAAAATATTGATAATTTTTACACTGATGGGGTTGGTGAGGTCTCATTTTCTAATCTCTCTCGCATTGTGGTGGTTCCTTGTAATGTTTGGACTCTGCTTTATTTGGGAAACAGAATCAGGGCCTGGAGCAGGAAGCAGCATTGGCTCTGGACAGCCCTGGCTCTACTGCCAGTGGACAGCTAATGGGGTGACCCTTAGGAAGTCCCTTCTCCTTCCGCTTCACTGTGTTTTCCTTATCTGTGGAATGGAAAAAGAACAGGTGACTTGCAAGGTCTCTTTCAGTTTTGTGACTGTGGGTTTGTACATTAGGTGTTTATTTTCAGCAGACAGTGTTGAATGTTTAATCCAAGCCATTCCCACTGAGAACGTGTTATGTTTTTTCAGTCACCACCATTCCCTCCACCTGTTTCTGTGTGTGTGTTGCAGCTAAGGACCAGACTGCCTCTGGAATGGGGGGAAACGGTTCAGGAGTTGGGTTTTGTCCTATTTCTGCTTCTGTGTTGAGGATGAGCACAGTCTCATGTGTGGGAGCCCTCTCCATTCTCACAGAAAGAGCCCCCACACTGCTGCTAGGAGTCGGGAGCCATCTCTGCTGGTTAAGAACTCCACGATGTGGAACAAGCGACTTCCCTTTTGGGGCTCAGTTTTCTTGGTGGGGATAGCAAGGTGACACTTGGTGGTCAGGAGGGCTCCATGAAATGATGTATGGTGGCTTTTGGTAAACAGAGTAGCTGCAGAGCATGAGTAATATTGTAATAATTGCGGTTTTCATGCGTGGATTCCAGTAGGAACGTGAAATGATTGGCTGAATCTGTGGTCTCTTCCTTTAAATGAAAGAAGTGTAGAAACTGAAGAACTTTTACATTTATTTGTGTATTTGGCACTGACAATAGCCCAGATTATGAATTTGCCCCTTGCTGTGCCCATCAGTGACTTTGTTGTTTTCCTTAAGGTACTGATTCTTGGCCAACACTGAAGAAGTATTTCCTGTGGAAGGTGTTAGTACAAGTGGAGGCAGGGTACCACCCCTTCAGATGGTGTCAGGGCAGATCTCAACACGTGCTGTTATATAGATTACATAACTTCGGGCACAGACAGAAGAGGAAATAAATTGAGTGTCATTATATGTAATTAGTAGTGGGAAATATGTTCAATAATTATTTTGTGTGTAACTTTGGAAAAAGTTTATAAATTATTTAGAAGAGCTTTGGTAGTTTTATTTTTTAAGGCAGAAATGTCCATATTATATACACATATTATTTTTCTGAGAAGCAGTAAGTTGGAGTGGATAGTAAAAAAAATGCTCATATAAAATGAAACCATTTAAAGCTAAATGACTTGATGCTTAGCGACTTGATTTTAGCTGTATTATCAAAAAAAAAAAAAAGAAATTCATCTGTATAACTAAAATTTTTCTTACTGTGTTTTTATTGTTACTTCCTATTTTTATAGTTTCCTGGCATTGTGGGTAATCTGTCCAGGGGATTTCTAAGTACTGTATTAGCATTTATGCTGTGAATATTTATGTTTGTTGTTGTGTTCAAGGGACTGTGCTGGCACCAGTTTCTTGTGACACCAGCTACTACTGCATTTTGAGACCTAGTTGGTGATTCTTGTGGTTCTGTGAGGAATGAGCAGCGAGGTGACAGCGTTTTACCTAATCTCTCTGGGGCGGATGTGGTGGACTGGGTTTCCGGGTGTCTGGCAGTTTGTGCAGTTCCTGGTATAACTGCCTTAATTTTTTTAAAATGGAGCGTCAGTGTTCTGATTAGTGCTTTGTAAATTTCAGTGGAGGCTGTGCTTCATGTGTTGGTGACAAGGAGGGCCTGCTGGTTTTCCCTTGACAGTAGAAGAAAGGCACATCGGCTTTTTCTTGCCAGTGCTGAGGACTGAACCCAGGACCTTGAGCGTACTAGGCCAGAAAGTACTCGACCATTCCGTGAATCCCCAGCCCTTCTTAAATTTTATTTTGAGACGGGCCCTCACCCAGCACTACATCAGCTCTTGCCGTGCATTTTTGTTTTTTTTTATGTCTGGATATAAGAAGGCCCCAAGTTTTATAGGAAACATAGTTTATTGATTATCTCTCTCTTCGGAGGGCAGAGACGTGGGCAGGGGTTCGGCTCCAGGGTGGGGCACTTGCTGCACATGGCCCCTGAGTTGATCCCCAGCCCTGAAAAAAAAGCAAACATTGCAAGGGGCAGAGATGAGCAAGTGGGTAGAAGCTGTAGGGAGGTGAGTTCCAGGCTCATTGGTGGCAAGGAAGAGTTTCAATCATTGGTCCTATCCAGAAGTCAGCCAACTCCGTGGGAGGGGGTGGGCTTAGCGGAGCTGTGTGATCGTTCTTCCTGCCTGGGCGTGGACTAGTTGAATTGGAGCTCCCTCTGTGATTCTTTGATAAGGGCTTCGAATCAGTGGGGGTGACGTACAAAGAAGAAAATGCCCTTTCAGACAAAAATGAACGTTGCTTCTTTTGAAGTTCTGTGTGTCAGGCACAAGTGGTGTGTACTACTAAAACTCACTATGATTCTACTTCTCACCCATTCCTGTACAGGGACGCTATTGATACTGGTGAATAGCAGGGCACTTCCACCGTGGGCAATAAAAATAGTAATTAAAAGCAGGTCTTTGTGACAGTTGGAAGACATTCTGATATTACTCTAATTCTCCATTGATTTATTTTTTTGCTATTTCTGTTTTTTTTCCTAGTTGTACTGTTTGTAAATCTTAAATTCAAATACACTTAGTTGAAATGATTTTGTGATTCATCAGGCCTGGCATGGATCTTAGGAAATTACCTTGTCCTTTTCAAGATTCCAAATAGCATTGGTTCTCTTTCCGACCTGTTCTGTCCAGTGCAGTAGCCACGTGCCGCATGTGGCCTTAGAATGGTTAGGGACACGTGTGATGCCGAGTGTCGGGGGGCCTTCCTTGGCATGTGCTACGAGGCCTCCAGGACCCTGGTCCGTCCTGGTGTTGCCCCGGTGTCTGCCGTGACCACTCAGTGACCACAGCTGCATCATCAGTTGAGTTTCTGATATCTGTCTGTAAAGTTTACCTTTTCTGTTTAAGTGCCCTTAAATTTTGATGCCATCGTGTTTATTCTGCGGGTGATCGCGCTCACCGGCATGTGTAAGCATTGGTCTTCCCCTCCGCCTCCCTCACTAAACTCCTCGAATACTGCTCTAAAAGCCCTTACTTGGATGATTGCTGTTTAATCTGATTTTCCAGACATTGCTTGCTTTTTCACAAACTACAGCTGTTAGGATTATAGAAGAGTGATTCACCTTTGAACTGTTAGAGTTCATTGATTAAAACAAAAACTTCTAAAATAGTATTCTGAAACCTTAGTAAAGCCTTTTTGGCCCCTTTATATCAATGTTTCAATATCGAATCTCTCAGTTAACCCAATGTTACTGTTTAATGGCTTTTAGACACAAGTTATCTATTTAGAGAATGTGGCAGATGATTTATTCCAAGTTATATATTTTATGCCTTTTGCTGCTTCATATTATTTTAAACTGTGTGTGATATCTAAGTGATATGCATGAATATAATGAAGACATACTGTAATCTTTTTAGACTTACCTTGATTAGATACATCTGTTGATCCATTTATAAATGTATACAAGACATTTACTGGTATTAAGTAGACACTGTTTTATCCTGTTCTCTCAGGAACGCAGGCTTTTCTCTGGCTGGTTCTCCCTTGCCCTGTGCAATGAGTTTCTCTCTTTTGAAGTGTTACATTGCTCGTTGTAAACCCTGTTCCTGCTTCCCTTGTTGGAAGTTTTGTCTTCCAACTGTTAAATTTAGTTACTTTGGAATGTAACGAAAAGGGCACATCAGACTTTGTCGTCAGGGAAAATACCTTCTGTGTTGAATGGTTCTCTGTGGTCTTAACAGTGAGACCTTCTGAAGAAGGAATGGATGGGTTCATTCCAGTCTGTTTATAAAACTTCCTCACCACGGAAAGAGATGAGGTTATAACTAGTAAGCATGTTGAGATGACTAAGCGGGTCTTAGCCTAAACCAGTGATGGCGAACCTGTGCCTGGCACGTGGGCTGCAGCTGGCTGTTTGTTATCACTGAAGCTCTAAAAGGTTTGCCATCTAGAAGGATGTATGGACTTAGCTTCTGATGAAGGTTAAGCCCTGTTCCCTCCTGTTTGCTGGGTAGCCGTGCTGAGTGTTCAACCTAGTAGCAGTGTGACTGGACTTGGTGTATACAGATCAAAGCAGGTGCCATGCTATATTTAACTAAAAAAGAATGCCCATAAATTGCATATTTAGTGAGAAAAATCAAGGTACACTAATACCAAACGTTATGTAAAATGGTCAGATGTCAACATATAATACACCTTGTATGCTATTCCAAGGGTTCGTAAAACATTGGTAACTTCAATGATGGATTTAGGAGTTTCGAGCACATCCTACTGTGAGCTTTTGCTTTATTGGTACTTAACATTTTCTAGCCAATTGGTTTTAATTATTGGTAGTCTTTTGAGTATCATTTGGGGAAAAAAGAAAAGAAGTTGGTCTTAGTGTAACAGAACTAATAGCCAGAGAGATTGAATAAATGGACCTATTAAAGAAAATTACTATTTCATTTTAAAAGGAATTATATTATTTTGAAATTTGAAGGTAGGACACTTTCTGCCTTGGCCAGTATACATTTTAATTCATATCTTTGATGGAACCAAGTGTCCACTTAACAGTTTGGAAGATAGTAAAGTGAGTAATTTTTAAATAATTTTCAACATTACTTTTTTACCTGAAGTGACTTATTCTTCATGGTGGATAGTTGCTTTCTATAGAATGATACGTAGTTTCTTTAAAAAAACTTTATGTGCAAAGAGAGATTATGGTGAACATATTAAATCTTAGGTTGTTGTTTAGATTTAATTGTTTAGGAGAGCAGCACCGTTGCTTCTGGTGAACCAAGATTTGCAGAAAGAGAACACATGCATTTCACTGATACGTGCTGTTCAGAAAAAGTAGTTAATTCGCAACGATATGTTGCATTCTCATATTGTAGAAATTCTGTAATTTAATTTTTCCCCCCTTGTCGACTGATAGTATAAACGTCTGAATAAATACCAACTGACTCATTTGTATATTGTTTTAAAATACCTGTTTGCAAATATTCATAGAACAGTTACATTTTTGATGCAAGTTGCTAAATTGTATATAAAGGCAGATCTATATATTTAATAAGTGAGAATTATTATTTTATTACTGAAATTTATTTCCAAAGCGAATTTATTTTGTAGGTGTTCTTTTAGAAAATTTTGCTTTGCCTCCAAAACAGGGAATAAACCTGTCTTGTGAAGTGGCCACCCAAAGCCCCTAATGTTAACATGACATGTAGGAGGATTTTGAAGTTGTTTGATAACATTTGCTTTTACTTTTGTTTAGAGAAAACAAAATTAAGTTGGAGGCCACAGTATTTTCTGAGCTTGAAGTTTCCTGTTGCGTCATTAGGGCCACCTGTATGTACATTATGGTTTAATGTTCTTTTGTGGTTCAGTGTTCTTTATGGTTCAATGTTCTGTTAATAACATTTGTCAGTGTCTCATCTCATCCTCACCACATTTGAGATTACTCTTCTATCTGTCTCATTCTCAGTGGTCACAGTTTCACAGAGCAAAAATATTTTTAGAGATTGAAGATGTGTGATTTCCGTGTAAAATGAATGTGTTAGTAACATCCATCTGCCAATCAAATAGACATCGGTTATGGTACCAGACAGTGCAATAGACTGTAGGCAGAAAAGCATCTTATCAATACAAATCAAGAAGAAAGAAGAAAGCTGTGAACTTCTGATATTTTTAATATAAAAATTGTCTTTCCAATGAATATTTTCTTGCTGACTTCGTGTTAATGTTATCCATGATTTGTAAGTTCATGCTGTGTAAGATCTAAGTTTTCAACATGAATATAGCAATTCCTGTAGCCTATTTTTATCATTTATATGTTTTTGAAAACAGATGTCATCTTAGAAATTGTATTTTGAGTGCAAATAAATCATCCCAGTTTGAAAGTCAACATGTTTTATATTTCATTCCCTAGTATTACAGAATACTTTGCATTGTTAAATATGTGTTTAAGTTGCCAGAATTGTTTTCCGGTTTCTGTATTTTCATATGGCTACAGTTTACCTACAACTCCAATTGAGTTTTTATTTAAATAAATGACATTTGGTGGAATCATGGAAAAGCTGTGTGCAACATCTTTTTTGCTGGTTTTTGTCATGTGGTATACACTTGAGTTTTTGTTTGTTGCTAAGACTTCCTGCCTCAACTTAGCCAAAAATTATGAAGAGTCTTCTTCGTGCTGTGTTCTTGGCTGAGATCTGAGCATGAAGAGATAAATGGGATTGCACATCTGTCAGAAGGGAGGTAGTGCCTTCTCATTCATCATTTTAAAATCTATATCAATTAGCTACCAGTATGTCCAGCCAGAAGAATCTTCACCATTCAGTGTGTAAAGAACATACTAGTCTCTGGGAACCAGGAGATCTCTGTTTAAGGCTAGTGGGCTGGGTCATAGCATATCCTCACTTACTGCTCTGAGCTTTGCCTAACCCCTCTGTAAAATGGGGACATTCGTACATCACTCAGCTCTAAGGGTGATTGGAAGAAAAGGTATGCAAGAACTGCAGTGGGCTTGTCTAAACCACTGAGTTGTGGTCTGCAGTCCAGAAGCCAGTTCCCGTGGCTAGAATTCAGTCACTCCGATCCACCCAGTGACAGAAGAGGAAGAGACAGACAGTTGGGCTGTGGGCACAGGAAGAAGTGGTGGGTGCGGTGAACACAGCCTTTGACACATCCCCATTTGGCCCAGATCCCTTCTTTCCTTCTCATCTTTTCCTTGTTCTTTGGCATAGAGAGCTTGATGGACCTGTCTGTACATTAGTTACAACTTTCAGGGGTCAGAAATACTCAAGTTGAACTTTTTTAAACAAAGATTTATGGGGCATTTTCTAGATAGCTGAAGAGCATCTTGAGGAGTCAGGGTGCAAGAAAGTGGGAGAGTCCCAGAAGACTCTCAATACGTAGTGGGAAGTCTTCTGAGACCAAGAGGACATGTCTTCTCTGCCTCTCTTGGTACATCTGTGGTCTGTCTTTGGCAGATGAACTTCCGCTAGCGGTTCACAGTAGCAGAGGCTTACTTGTCTGTTATGCCCCATCTCTATTCCGGGCCAGTGAGGAATCACACGTATGTCTGACACATTGCTCTGGTAGCAGCTTACCTGTCTAAAATTAATACTGCATTAATCCTACCTTTGGAAGCAGGGTTGCACTAGGGGAGGCTGTGGTAACTGACAAACCCAAGTCTTAGTGGCTTAAGACAGCAATGGTTGATATCTCGCCCTTGCTGTAGTGCAGGTGCATTTTACTTCAGCTAGGGAACACTTGTGGATCACGGAGGCCACGGGAACATCCACCGTCTGGAATGGAGCACATTGCAGTGGCAAAGGAGGCATTGGACCTGGCTTAACACAAAAACCTTTATTGTGGTATAGTTTAAATACTTTAGAATACACTCCTTTTAAATATGTAGGTCTACATTTAATAGCTACATAGTTTTGTGCTGCCATCACCACTGTACACACTTCATGCTTTTGTTCCGCTAGAAGTCCTTTCCTGTTCATCTGCTTTCAGTCCTCATCCTGGTTCCATGCCCCAGGCTAACAGACCTGTTCGTGGAGTTTTGCCTATAATACAAAATTTATGTAAGTGGAATTGTGTACATAGCCTTTTGTTTCTGGGTTCTTTCACTGAGCATATTTTTGAGATTCATCTAAAACTGACATATTCATAGTTCATTTTTCTAAAGCTTTGAGTTGGATTCTGTTGTATGAGTGTGTGACATGGTTATGAATAATTTGATGGGTATTTGTGTTGTTTCTCTGTTTTGGCTTTCATGAATAACATCGTTAGGAACATTCACATGGAAGTCTTAGGACAAAGTTTTTGCTTTTTCTGTCCAGCTAATCAGAAGTGGAATTTCTGGGTCCCGTGTGAGCATTTTTTATTTAGGAAACTACCTGTCTTTAATGGGCTATCCCATTGCACATTCTTACTGGCTTGGCATGAGAATTCCTCTTTCTCTGTGTCCTCATCAATAATAGGCAGTGTCAGTATTTTAACCATTCTTGTGAATGTGAAATGATATCTTGTTGGAGTTCTGCTACATATTTTTAGAAAACTGAGTTATAAAACGCCAGGTGTGGGGTCACATGTAATCCAAGCGCTTTGGGAGTCTGAGGCAGGAGGCTGCAAGTTTGAGTGCAGCCTGTGGAACTTGGTAACTTAGCGAGATCCTGTCTCTGAATTAAAAAAATAAAAAAGGGTTAGGGATGTATCTCAGTGGGCAAAGACACTGGGTTTAATGCCTAGTACTGCCAAAAAGTTATAATGCGCATACATAAAAGTCACCTTTAAAGTTCAGTGGGTTTTAGCATATTCACTATGTTCTACTTCCATCACCATTATCAATTCTGGAATATTTTCATCACTCTGAAAATAAACCACTTACTCATTAGCAGTCAGTTCTGGTTCCTTCTCCTTCCATACCTTGACAACCACTAATATAATTTCTGTCCACGTTGATTTGCCTGTTCAGGCATTTTGTATAAATGGAACTGTAAAACCTACAGCCTCTTGTGTCTTGCTTCCTTTGCTAAGCATAATGTTTTCAAGTTTTATCCAAGCTGTAGCATGTAACTGTGTAACAAGTACTTCATTCTTTTTTTATGCCTGAATAGTATTTGATTGTATGACATTTTCTGTTTTCAGTAGTTGAGGATCTTAGGATACTTCTTTTTTTATTTTAAAAATAGAATGAAAACATTAACAGACACAAAGACATTTACAAGTAACACAAAAACAATACAAGCAATGCAGAATTTCAGACAAGGTGATAGGAAATTAACAGTAGCTATATTACATATTGATATCTTCAAATTGGTTACTCAGATAAACAAATATAGGCATGTAAGAATGATCAGACAATTAAACATTAACTGTTCCTTTCAATAAAGCAATAGAAATCAGTAGTACAACCATCTTAGTTATCCTGTGTACACCTATATATGTATTTTTCCTTCTTTCTTTTCCATTTCCCTCATCCAAGTTGTTATTTTCTTTGGGGCAGTTTCTTTCACTTTCACAATTTACAGTGGTTAGATGCCGCAGGTAGGTGGCAATGCTTAAACCATAGGCATGTTGTCAGGCCCAAGGGCCTCTTCCATCCTTGTCAAGGGGAGTGCTAGCGTCTCCTTTCATACAACACGAGGTATTTCTACTTTCTTTACTGTTGTAAATAATGCTGCTGGGAGCCTGTATGATTTTTGTGTGAACATATGGTTCCTGTTTTCTTGGTTATATACTTACTGTACCTAGAAAAAAACCTTGGGAGTCATGGTAATAGTGCACTTCACTTTTTGAGGAATTGTCAAACTGTTTTCCGAAGTACCTGTGCCCTGTTGCTTTTGACCAGGACATGAGGGGTGCCACTTCTTCACGTTGTTCCAGCACCTCTGAGCTTCCAGCTTTATATGTAGCTATCCTCATGGGTGCGAGACGGTGTTTCATTGTGGTTTTTGACTTGCACTTCTCTGATGATTAATGCTGTCAAGCATCTTTACATGCGTGTGGACTGTAAGTCTGTGTTCTTTTCGGAAAGAATATCTATACAGATCTTTCCATCACTTTATGATTAGGTCGTCTTTGTTGTTGATTAGTTCTTTACCCTGGGTTCTAGATGTCTGTTAGAGATGTGATTTGAAAATATTTTCCCCTGTTCCATGCATGATCTTTTCATTCTCTTGATCATGTGAAGTATAGTTTATCTTTTTTTTTTTTTTTCTTGGTTATTTGTGATTTTAACATTGTAAGAAGACTGGCTAACCTAAGCTCACACAAATTTATATCTGTGCTTGCTTTTACGAGTTTTATTACAATTTTACCTCTTACATTTAGGTCTTTGAACTATGTTTTGGGTTAATTCTTTTATTTTTTAGAGACAGGGTCTTGCTGTATAGGTCAGGCTGGCTTTGAACTCACTTTGTAGCCTAGGCTAGCCTCGAACGCGTGGCTGTCCTCCTGCCTTGGCCTCCTGAGTTCTGGGATTACAGGCGTGCGCTACCATGTCTGGCGTTGTGTTAATTCTTACACATGATATTGTGTAGGGGTCCAGCTTTGTTCTTTTGCATGTGATTGTCCAGTTGTCACATCCTGATTTGTTGAGAAGCACACTGGCTTATTTATTGTCTAAGCAAGTCATGTGGTTGTACCCAGCTTCAGTGAAACAGGTTTGTACTGTTCTACTACATCCGTCCATGGTTCCAAATTCATGTGTTAGGGTTCCACAACTATCTTTCTTAGTCCGGGTCCCAGGTTTTTGAAGGGGTAGTTTCTGTTGGTCTTGGTTGGGAGAGGTGCTGACCCTCTCTCACACAATTGGCTCAAGGGAATGGGATTTTGTGGAACACACAAGACTGCTGGAGGTTTGCTGCTATGGCCTGGTGAGCCATGCAGTGAAGGTGAAAAGTTCATTACAAACCAGTTAAGTTACTCCAAAAATATCTGTGGTTTTGAATGTTCTCATTTATTTGAAAACTGTTCCACAAGTGTATGTTCCCAAATTGTAGTTCTGGTTAGTCAAAATTTGTTGTATTTCTGCTATTTCTGACACTGTTCTAAGTACTTGGGAAATAGAGAAAAAAGGAAGATTGCCTCCTTCATGTAGCTTGGCTTCAAATATAATGAGAAAACATTAAGTAACAAATGCGGTAAGTAAAGTATATAATGGAGGGCTTGGTAGCCAAGATCTCAGGGAGTTGCCTGTTTATAAGTAGTGTTACTAAGCCTAATCACACCCATTCATTTACTGGGTTATCTATGATGACTTTTCCATCGTAAGTGTAAGCTAGTGGCAGGTAACCTCAGAGCTCATAAACTTAAATATTAATTTGGTCCTTTGAGGAAACATTCACTGATCCCCCGTATCATCTGTAGACAGTGTGCTATGTGCAACAGAAAGAATTAAAAAACAAAGCTGAGTAAAGGAACGGGGAACCTGGAGTTAGAGAAGGACGTCAGTTGCAATTTCAAATGATAGGCTTGAGTCTGTTTCATTGAGAAGGTGAAATTAGAGCAAATACTTACAGAGGGGAGACAAAGCTAAATAATACTTAGAGGAAGGAATTT